GGACTCACTTCTCAATTTCAAAACTTTTTACAAAGCTACAGCAATCAAGACTGTGTGGTACTGGCATAATGATAGACATGTAAATGTAAGGGAATTGAGCGTCCAGATGGTCAATTGATTTTGAATGAGACTGCTAAGACAATTCAATAGGGAAAGAATGGTCTTTTCCACAAATTGTGTGGGGGGACAACTGATATTACATGAAACAGAATGAAGTTGAGTCTCTACCTCATGTTACAGACAAAAGCCAACTTCTTTTGCACACTGAAGAGAACTTTCCAAAGCAAAAATCTGGTCATAGAATATGGTGTCCATAGCTCAAAGGATATAAGACACTGAATAGCCTGACTCTTAAGGACTTCTTCATATCAGGTGCTCCCCCACACTTTGCAGTTCAGCTATACTGGTTTTCTTAAGTTCATAGGACTTTTACACATTTTTCTTACTCTATCTGGGACACTCTCACTTTATATTCCTATTCACTCTCCAGATCTCAGATCTAAGGCCATTTCCTCAGGAATTCTTCCTGAAACTTCCTCAGATTAGGTTGCATCCTTTTATTACATGCTCTCCTATAACCTGTATTCATTATATAATATTGGTTAACAGCATAAACTCTGTAGCCAAATTGCTTGGATTCTATTTCTGGTCCTGCCACTGTATGACCCTGGGCATGACAATTAGCCTCCCCATGTTATAGCTTCCTCATTTGTAAACATTTAAAGAAAGATTAAATCAGTGGCACTGTGTGCCTAGCATGCCAGGATTGATCCCCAGTGCTGAAAGAAAAAAACTAGAAAACGAAATACGCCCCCCACCCCCCATCAGACTAAATGGCTTAGTATTTGTTAAGTCCTTAGAACAACGTCTGGCATATAATAAGCATCATATGCGTTAGCTATTATTATTGTTCACTTGTTAGACTGTAGGTGCCACAAAGAAAAGAATTTTAACTGTTTTGTTCACTTTGCTTTCTGCCATACAAGGACCAGTATCTGGCATATTATATGTAATCAGTAAAAATTTGATTGAATGAACACATTTTATAATGTAACTTACTTTTTTTTCTTTTTTGTGTGTGCATGAGGCAGTACTGGGGATTAAACCTAGGGCTTTGTATATGCTAAGGACACATTCTACCACTGAACCACACCCGCAAGCCTGGATTGTCTTTAAAAAAAAAAAATTATATATATATATAGTTGTAGGTAGACACAACACCTTTATCTTATTTTTACAGTGCTGAGGATCAAACCCAGTGCCTCACATGTGCTAGGTGAGCAACTCTACTATATAAAAGTTAAAAATTTTAGGGTAATAGTTACCTTTGGGAGAAAGGATGAAGAGAATCATTTTCGAGGCTTCAAAAGTACTGCAATGATCTGTTATTCTTTATGATCCACATATATATTATATATTATACAGACATTTGTTTTTATGCTAGCTTCCATTACAAAACAATATTTTAAAATCACAGACCACATTATAGCAGCATAATCTCTGAATTAGATATGACTATCAATTCAAACTCCTTTGGGCTGAAGAAAACAGGATGATTACCTTGGCTCAATTTTTTCTGTTGCAGAATTTCTCATCAAGTTGCTCTGGACAAGCCGGAACTGTAATACACCACAAAAATGAGGACACTCTTCCCACCCACCAACTATCTGCCTCTGTTATTCCAAACTTCTAGCATGTAAGCATAAAGGTAAGCTAGCTAGGAGTTCAAAGCCAGCCTCAGCAATGGCAAGGTTCTAAGCAACTCAGTAAGACCCTTGTCTCTATATAAAATACAAAATAGGGCTGGGGATGTGGCTCAGTGGTCAAGTGCCCCTGAGTTCAGTTTCCAGCATCCCCTCCCCGACAAAAAGGTAAGCTTGTCAGGTATACCTTTCCTTCAAGCCAGAGGTAAGCTTCCAACATAATGGGTCAAAGAGTAACTTTTGGCTTAGATGCTAACACTTGCCTTTGTTATTGTACTTACAAGTAATACTAGTGGTGTTCCAATGCATTACTGTCTAGAGTCTCCTAGTCTAGAGTTCTGGAAACACAATTGTATGAGGCTACTCCTATTTCTATATACTACTTTTCCATTGTCTGATCAAAGGAATGTAAAAAATAAAATTCTGAATAAGCAAAGTTATGTTTGCAATGAAAGAACTAAGGGGAAATTCAAGACTAATTACATATCACTCAATAGGAACTTAGGAAAAAAATCCTCATATTGTCACCAGAGGGCACTGTTGTACATTCTGTACTAAAGAAATGGTCTAACATATATGTTGTGTTCTTTAGGAAGTTCTATTTCCTATCCATCACCATCTTGACAATATCTCAAGTTGAAAACAAGGTGGTAATGGGAAAATGCATGCCAGTCTGCATTTAAAATTTGTTTATTCTATGCATCATTTTAAATTTTTTCTCCTCTAGTGTACTCTACTCTATATTCCTGACTAAAAATGCTTTAAACTGTTGATAGCTTCCCCAGCTCACCTGCTGGTGGTAGTCCCTCTGTTTGATGAACTTGTCTACCACCTTCTCTACCTGTCTGTCACATTCCACCTGAAGATATTTGATCAAGGTATAAAGTCTCCCTGGTCCATAATAGGTCTCCACTATGGGCTGGTGGGTCTCCACAATGCGGGCAATCCCTAGAAGGAAGTGAAAAGGTTGAACTGCAAATAGTTGTTTCATAAAATAAACTCCTTTCTCCCATCCTGAACTAATCCAGGTCTAATTCAATCCTTTTGGGTTGCTGCACCACACAAAATGAACACACATAGTTGTAGCTGGTGCTGAGAGTTGTTAAGCAAATTTGTTAATATGCACAGTGACTGATATACTAACCAGCATTTGAGAATTTATATTGATAAGTTAAATTAAAAATACTTTTTTTTCCTAGTTGTATCTCTAGAAATCAGGATCACTCTCTTTCCAGTAATTTATCCTGGGGTTAAATTTACTCAGAGCTAGGTGCAATGGTCCATGCCTGTAATGCTGGCAACTAGGGAGGCTGAGGCAAAAGGATTGCAAGTTTGAATCTAGCCTCAGCAACTAAGCAAGGCCTTAAGCAACTTAGTGAGACTCTATTTAAAAATAAAACATTCAAAAGGCCAGGAATGTAGCTCAGTGGTAAAGTGCCCCTGGGTTTAATCAGTACCAACCAACCAAAAAATAAAAAAAAGGGAGGCTGGGCTCAGCGGTAGTGCACTTGCCTGGCATGTGTGAGGCACTGGGTTTAATTCTCAGCACCACATATAAATAAATAAAAAATTAAAAAAAAGAAAAGAAATTTACTCATAGAATGTGGGTCTTGGGGACTAGGGAGGATCAAAATATTGTAGTGGCTCTTAATTAGTCTTGCTAATCAGATATTAAATCTGGAAGTAAATTCTCCAATAAATCAACACACAGTAAACTGCAGGATTAGATTAAAGCATCGGATTAGAGGGGACAGAAGAAAGGCTAGCATGCAGGTGTCAGAGAGAAATCTCTCTGGCCTCCATAGGGTGGAGAAAGAGGCTTGCCTTCAAATAGTAGAGTAAGTGTGTCGGCGAAGATGACTGCAGCTCTTCGATCACTCATATCTGACCCTAGAACCAAGAGTAGGTTCTCCTCAGCTTTACTGGCCACCTGAAAAAAAAACAAAAACCCAGAAAATCCACATATATTTCTGAACAAAGACCAGTCTCAACTAGGTTTGTCTCAGTTTTCCAAAAAAGACCTCCCATTGACTTGTTTATTCCCATGTTTCCCTTAATGCTTGGAGGCTCAGGCAGCACAGAGGAACCTCCTTTGGAGGGTTCTTGGCTTTCTGAGCTCAGGCAGGACATTCTTGTCTTTGAAAATATGGACTGCCATTGGCCAACAAACTGAGCCCTCAGTTTCATTTTCTTCTCTACGTGTAGATTATTATTATTAACAGTACTTTGTGGGGGCCGGGGCTGTAGCTCAGCAGTAAAGCACTTGCCTAGCACGTGAGAGGTCCTGGGTTTGATCCTAAGCACCACATAAAAATAAACAAATAAAAGCATTGTGTCCAACTACAACTAAAAAATAAATATTTAAAACAAAACAAACAAAAAATAAACAGTACTTTGTTGAGCCAGGACAAGAAATTTGGCTACTTGTGCACTGTGTAAAGGGTCTTTTAAAAGATTAAAATTAGAAGCCATTTCTAGGGCCTTGGTGGCAAAGTACTGATTTTAAAAAGTATCATAGAGTTGGGGATGTAGCTCAGTGGTTGAGCACCTGCCTAGTAAATGAAAGGCCCCGGGCTGGATTCCTTAGCAACCAATCCAAAAACAAATAAGCACCAAAAATAAAAAACAACAAAAATTCCACAGAACAGGGGACCCTCCTTTGGCTAGTGACAGTTCCTATTTTCAAAGGGAAGAAAAGCACTAAAGCCCTGAGATTTGAACTGAACCCTGTTTCCTTCTCAGGATTTAACTTTAAGGGACCTAACCTCTTTCATGTCAGTATGGCTTATTTTGAGACCCAAGCCTGGTTATGAAGTCTTGAGACTTCATTACCTAAGATCCAACAGCTTTTAATAGAAGCCAGTTTTTTTTTTTTTTTTTTAATAACTTTATTTTATTTGTTTCTTCTTCTTTTTTATGTGGTGCTGAGGATTGAACCCAGGGCCTCACATGTGCTAGGCAAGCACTTCGCCACTGAGCCACAATCCTAGCCCCCTAGGAGCCTTTTTAAAAAAAATTTATATATGACAGCAGAATGCATTACAATTCTAATTACATATATAGAGCACAATTTTTCATATCTCTGGTTGTATACAAAGTATATTCACACCAATTCGTGTTTTCATGTCTGTATTTTGGTTAATAATGATCCTCACATTCCACCATCAATAACCCCATGCATCTGCTCCCTTCCCCTCCAGCCCTTATGCCCTATCTAGAGTTCATCTATTCCTCCCCTGCTTCCTCTCCCTATCCCACTATGAATCGGCCTCCTTATATCAAAGAAAACATTCAGCAAAAAATATGGAATGCTTCACAAATTTGCATGTCATCCTTGTACTGGGGCCATGCTAATCTTCTTTGTATCATTCCAATTTTAGTATGTGTGCTACCAAAGTGAGCACTAGAAGCCAGTTTTTGACTGATAGCTTAAAAGGGGTGATTCAACTTGTCAGAGAATTTCCATTTTAATTTACCTATATTTTCACTTGGTCTGTTGAAAAAAAATGTGCATCAGTAGTTGTCTAGACCATGCCTGGTATACAGTAATAGCCAAGAACCAAACCATTATCCTACCAAGCCATCAGGGTCCATACCTGCTTACAAAGGTATTCTGAGAACTTGCTTAATCCCTCCTCATGCAAACCCAGCAGTGGGAAAATCTTGAAGAAGCGCTCTACTTGGGGTAAATCCCCTTCTTTGGTGGCCATGGCAAACTTCTCTGCTACAATGGCTTTGAGACGCTGTTCAGCTTCCTGCAGTAATTTCAGGTTGGCATCAATCATACTTCCTGCTCATGGGGAGAAAATGAGAATTAGTTTTAAAAAATTCTTTGTTGGGTCCATGCCACTCTGTGCACCACTATCCATTTGACAAGTATGTACAAAAGACTGTGTGCAAGATACTATACTAAGCACACACCTGTAATCCCAGCAACTGAGGCTGACGGGAGGATCCCAAGTTTGAGACCAGACTTAATAACTCAGTGTGGCCTTATCTTTAAAAAAAAAAAAAAAGGTGGGATTGGGGATGTGGTTCAATGGTTAAATGCCCCTGGATTAAATCCCTGGTACCAAAAACCAAAAAAAAAAAAAAAAAAAAAAAAACCAGAAACAAAACAAAACAAAGACACTATAATAGTAATACTGATGATTACAAGATGAATTTGCCATGATTCTACTGTCACAGGAGTTACAATTAAGTAAAAGAGAATGTGCCCAAATAACTATATAAAATTCAGTCATTTTAAGTGTCCTAAGAAAGGTGCCCCCAAATCACATTTCTGGTTGAAGTAATGAAAAAGGCTTCTTAGAGAAGGTGACATCCAATCTCTCAAAGATAGGCAGGATTTTGATGCCTGAATAAGAAAGACATAAATTCCAGGAGAAGGGAATGAAATAAGCAAAGGAATAGGAGTGGAAAGATGAAAAGTATTTTTGCATATTATAAATAGTACATATCCTGACATAAAGAGGAACTCAACAAATATTTGCACAATAAATGGATGCACAAGTGAACACTCCTAGAGAGACAGGAAAGTGTAGAATAGAAAGCTAATAATTTCATTTTGTAAGTAGGCAATAAGGTCAAGTGAAAAGAATACACCAGCCAGAGAATCAGAAGATTTGGATTCAGTCTCCTTTTCCATAAACTGAGAATAGCAATATCTGCCCTGGGATGGTACAGGACATACATAGGGCTTACAACGAGATAAGGGAACTTCCTAACAATACATGACTTTTTCCTGGTTGAGTGTACCTAGTTCAGATTACAGTGCTTGTAACCAAACTAGAAATCAAGTCTGGGATGCTGACCTTCTTTGCCCTGTCGGCTGAGTTCAATGACTGATTTGTCCAAGCACAAGTAACGATGAATGTGGGCTGCAGCCTGCTCATAATCTTCATTCCTCAAAGCAGTGTGAACTCCATCCATACAGAATTTCAGGTCCAAGATGTCATCAGCTCTCTGAATGGCCTGATAGAGGCGATTCTGAAAAAGACTTTGCGCTTAGAAATAAAAAGTCCTATTTCTTTTTCTCCCCCCGCCTTTCTTTTGTGGTACAGGGGATTGAATGTAGGGTATCACATATTAGGCAAGCACTTCACCACTGAGCTACCTCCCAGCTCTTTTTATTTTGACAGGGTCTTACTAGGTTTCTCAGGCTGGCCTTGAACCTATGATCTTTCTGCCTCAGCCTCTTCAATATCTGGGATTATAGGTATGTGCTAGTAATGCATGGCTAGAAGTAATGTATTTTTTTTCAAAAACACCCATCCAAAAGATAGGGTGATTCAGGGTCTGAATCTGGTTAACCTTTTTGCCTTTAACTGGCAAACTTACAAACTCTTCCACCACCACTCACAAAACTGTTATTTTTTTTTTTAATTTTGTTAGTTATAGATGGACACAATATCTTTATTTTTTTAATTTATTTTTATGTGGTGCTGAGGATTGAATACAGTGCCTTACATGCTGGAGGCAAGCACTCTGCTACTTAGCCACAACCCCAGCCCCACAAAACTGTTATTGATGATCAAGGCCAGCTGACAGGTCTCACAAAATCTTATTAATGTGGTCAAATAATTCATTTCAATGGAAGAAAGGGATAATCAATATTTATAATTTGGCTTGTTTTCTTAACTTTATTTATAGTTGAATCAAAATTATGTGATATTTTGGGAACATTGTAAAGTAAGTAAAAAAATTAGTGAAATATGCAGAAGGCACATTTCTTTTAGAATAAGCAAGAATTAAAAACCAAAACTTTCATACATGAGTCAGTGGCTGTGTGGCTATACTGTTTTGTGAAGATATTGCCTCTCTGGGCTGGGAATGTGGCTCAAGCGGTAACGTGTTCGCCTGGCATGCGTGGGGTGCTGGGTTTTATCCTCAGCACTACATAAAAATAAAATAAAGATGTTGTGTCTGCCGAAAACTAAAAAATAAATATTAAAAAAAAAAAAAGATTGCCTCAGAATCTGAACACAAAAATCAGGAAGAATTACGCTATTTCAAGGCCATTAACCATAATGACACTTGAAATGTGGCTGGCCCCAGTTAATATATGTATATGTAAAATACACACCAAATTTTAAATACCGAGTACAAAAATAAAGAAGGTAAAAAAATCCCACTAATATCATCACATAGTTGGTATGGTGGTGATTGCCTGTAATCCCAGTTACTGGGAAGGCTGAGGGAGCAAGATTGTAAATTTGAGGTCAACCTTGGCAACTTAGGTAGACTCTGTCTTAAAATAAAAATGTGTTTGGAATGTAGCTCAATGGTAAAGTATCCCTGGGTTCAGTCCCTAGTATACCCCACCCTCTACCACACACATGATAGTAATTACATGATAAATGTATTTTAGATATAGTGGGTTAAATAAATTATGTTATTGAAATTATTTTCACTAATTCTGTTTACTTTCTATAAATGGCTACTAGAAAATGTAAAACTATATAGGTGGTTCATATTAAATTCCTTCTTTCTCAGCTTTGGTGATTCTTATTTAATTCCTTGTCTAACTGCCCTGGTTAGAATACATTAGTAAGAGCAGACATCTTAGGCTGGGCTGAGGAGCATCACAAGTTTAAATCCAGCCTCAGCAATTTAGTGAGGCCCTAAGCAACTTAGTGAGACCCTGTTTCAAAAAAAGTATGTGTGCGGATTCTGGGGATGTAGCTCAGAGGTAAAATGCCCTTGGGTTAAATCCACAATTCCGGGCAGTGGGCATGGTGATAGAATAGACATCCTTGTTTTGCTCTTTATTTTGCCTTTCTTTCACCAGTGAGAAATGATGTTAGTGTTAGTGGTGGATTTTTCCTTTTTTTTGGTACTGGGAATTGAACTCAGGGGCCCTTGACCCCGGAACCACAGGGTTTCATTTTTTTGAGACATAGGGTTTCACTGAGTAGCTTAGCATCTCAATTTTTTGCTGAGGCTGGCCTGAACTCGCAATCCTCCTGTCTAGCTTCTGGAGCTGCTGGGATTACAGTCGTGTGCCACCATGCCTGGCTTAGAGGTGGATTTTTCACAGTTGCCTTTTATCAGGCTAAGGATATTCCCTTCTGACCCAAATTGGTTAAATGTTTTTATGTTAAAGAGACAGTGAATTTTTCAAATGCTTTATCTGAGTCTGAGGGGATCATGTGTTTCTGTTTTTCTGTCCTGGGGACCGGACCGAACCCAGGGGCACTTAACCCCTGAACAACATCTCCAGGACCCCTCCCCACCCCTTTTTTTGTTTTGCTAAGTTGCTTTGGGCCTAAGTTGCTGAGGCTGGCTTTGAACCTGTAATCCTTTTGCCTCAGCCTCTGGCATGTTAAACCAATCTGGTATTCCTAGGATAAATTCCATTTGGTGTTGGTACATAATCCTTTTTTCCTGGCAGTACTGGGGATTGGACCAGGGCCTCCTCACCTATGCTTGGAAAGTACTCTACCACCACGCTATATTCCCAGCTCTGTTTATTTTTTATTTTGGAGAGACAGTCTTGAGAAATTGTCCACGATGGCCTTGAACTTGTGATCCTCTTGCCTCAGCCTCCCAAATAGGGGTGGGATTATAGACATGCACCATTACATCCAGTATAAATCTTTTTTATTTTATTATTTATTTATTTATTTGTACCAGGAATTGAATCCAGGTGCACTTAATCACTGAGCCACATCCTCAGCCTTTTTTACTTTGAAATAGGGTCTTGAAGTGGCTTAGAGCCTCGCTAAATTGCTGAGGCTGGCTTTGAACTTGAGATCCTCCTGCCTCAGCCTCTGAGGTTGCTGGGATTAGAGGTGTGCACCACCATGCCCAGCATAAAATCATTTTTATACATTGCATGATTTTTTTCTGTTAGTGTCTTGTTGAGCATTTTTATATATACACTCAAGTAGTAGTTTATAGTTTTCATGTTGTTTCTTTGGTTCTGATATTTCATATTAGATTTCTACTGGATGGTGTTGCTCTAATCTGTAATGTAGCTTCTTTCCTGCCCCCAATTAACTGAAACATCCAAAACTCAAAGGGATTACCTTGGCTAGGTCAAGCTGACGAACTTTGCTGGACACATTCTCAGCAAGGTTGCAGGTAAAAGTGATCATTCCAGCCAACTGCTTTGCATCTCCCTCAATCAATTGCAGGTTGGGGCTAGAAACACACATTGTTAGCACACATATTCAAAGGGCAGAAAGTAGGAGTAAGAGATGGAAACATTTTTTTGCAAATGGAGACTGTCTTTTTTTTTTTTTTTTTTAACTTCCCCATAACTTTTACCTCAGTTTACACACAGCTTTTTCTCAAAGAGTATTTTACTGTTCTATACTTAATACAAAATTAGTTTTAAAAACTACTAGATTTGCCCCTAAATAGATTAACATCAAACAGATTCTGCCAATTGCTAAGTAGCCTAAAATGTACTAACCAATAATCTGAGAAAATGCTGCGATCAATGAAAAATATCTTTTTGACCAGCAAACATACAATCCCTATAAAAGCAGTGGTTCTCAAATGTGAGCTACACTGGATCAGAATCACTGGAAGCCTTGTTAAAATACATATTCCTGGACCATGCTCTCGGAGTTTCAGATTCAATAAGTTTGGGCTAGGGTCCTAGAATCTGTATCTCTAACAAGTTTTCACCTGTTCCAAGGACTCTCTGATAATCAATAAACTATGTATATACCCTTTGGTAGTTCACTTTATCTTGAGTTAATGCTCTCCACTTCAAACTCAACTGGCAGTTTATAACAGAAAGTTAAGAAAAATGGTAACTTATGCAGTGGACCCTGTTGGAATTCATAATAGCTCTTGCCGTGATGCACAGACTCACCCCATTCGGTGGAGAGTGACCATCTTACTTTCAATGGTATTTTGCTGTTCCAAAAGAGCATCTAGCTCTCTCTCCACCACTTTCTGAAACAAAGAGAAACTGTGTTATCAGGATGGTCAGAAAGAACCTTAAGAGTTACTTAACCCAATTATTTAATTGATAGGTAAATTCCATTTCAAATTTCTTCTTTTCTTCCACTATGCTCTCCTTGGACTTAAACAACTCTGTTTTTGCAGTTACCACACTGCATAATGACTGTTACCTTATGCATATCTTATTCCATCTAGCAAATTAGCACTACAATGGAAGGAAATTAACTTTTATTCAATATTATTAGGACACTGCCTCACATGGTTAAACAAGATTTCCAAAATCTTACACACAAAAATCTTTTCTTGGCACATAGTTAAATAGCCAGAAAAGATAAATACAAGTTTATCTCAGTCAGGCCATTTACTGTGCTACCTCAATTTATATAAACTTATATATCAGTTTTTTTCATCTATAAAATAGGACTATCAATACATTCTCCGTCAAACTGTTGGGCAAATCAGACAGGATAACACACAAAGTGCTTAACATGGTGAGTAGTATACAGTTTAACAACAGCCTTTAATATTAGCTCTACATTTTAACAACCCAGTAGAATTTAGAGGGACACTTCTCCCCAACAATCAACAAATACAGAACTAATATTGTTATGTCTCTAAGATCTCCTTAATTTTTTCCCCAAAGTATTGGTTAACTCAATGAATGCAAGCTTTGGAATGTTAAGAGCACTTAATTTTAAAATATATCTTGTTGAAAAAAGCATTAGAAATTGCTAGAGTTGGTACAAGTTAATATTTGAAAATATTTGAAGATATCCAGGACTTCCCTTCCCCAGGCTCAAACTGACTTTTTTTTTTTAGTTGTTAAACCTTTATTTTATTTGTTTATCCATAGTGCTGAACCCAGTGCCTCACACATGCCAGGCAAGTGCGCAACCGCTGAGCCACAACCCCAGCCCCTGAAACTGACTTTTGTGCTCAACCTTACTTACAAGTTTGGTTTAAGAAAAACACCTGCTAGAATTTTAGATCAGAGATTAGATTTCTTTTTTTCTGTCAAGAAACCAAATGATATTGGGAAGTGAACTGACAGCATTAAGTTGTCACAGAAAAGTGAAGGAGAATGGCAGGAGACAGAACATTATCAACTAAAAAGAACCTTAGTCCACACCCTCATTTGCTAGAGCATCAGAGATATAAGAGATGAAACGACTTGTCCAAGTCTAGACAATTGTGACTGAGCCTCAAAAGTTTACAGGTGTGTGCTCACTAATCTGAGACGGTGACACATGGCTATAGTCCCAGCTATTTGGGAGGCTGAGGCATGTGATATTATTATTATTTTGCTGTGCTGAGCTCTTGAACCCAGGGCCTGGGCATACTATACTATATAAGCACTCTGAGCTACAACCCCGACCCAGGAGCATGTGAATTTGAAGTCCGCCTGGGTTAACTGTGAGACCTAATCTAAAGAAAAAAAAAAGAAAGAAAGAAAGAAAAAAAAATCCAAACTCCTAATGAGCTGTGCATTTAACTGAAATGCTAAAATTACACTTCTAAATCATTCTGTAGGAGAGGAAGTTTTAAAACTCCACAAGTTAATTTGCAATGACTTCTCGCTTAAATGAGATAACAGGTGGTGTTTCACAATTTTTTAATTGCTAGCTAATGCAATTCGTATTATGAGAACCAAAAAACGATTTGGCATATACTCTCATTCTAACTTTACCCCGGTGGAAAAACACTACAGTGGCTCTGGGCCAGGGAAATCAACGAGGTGGGTCACGGGAAGGGAACACCCATCTATCAGGAAACAAAACACGTTTGAGGGCATCCGAACGAAGGAATAGACTCGACAGTTTCCCTAAATGCCCAATTACACTAATTTGGGTAGGTGCTTTGTTGTTGTTGCTGTTTCCCCCAGCAAGGAAAGAGCTTCCCACAGCCCGGTTTCCCGCAAACCTATGGCTCTTATGCCCACTACCCCTGGATTCTCCCGGAAAAAGAGGAGGCTTAGCCCCCCACCTCCTCGTCGCAAAGCCGTTCGTACACAGTCTCCAGCTCCTGCAGCTCTGTCAGGGAGCGAATGAGCTCGGTGGAGATTTCGGAGCAGTGACTTCCTCCCACCCCCTCCGACGGCGGCGGGTCCCCTGACAACTTCTGAGGGGAATCGACGTCTGCCATCTTGGTCCCCGTTTGATGCTTCCGGGTCCTTAAGGTCCCGTCCTCGTTGGCGCGCGGGGCCTTTGGGGCTGCCTACAGAAGTGCCCGACTAAATCCTGATTTTTTTTAGACTACTTAAAAGAAATTTATTAGTTTTCTCTTCTACTGAAAGTTACAGTCGTATGATGTGTTTAAATAATTTTAAATGCCATGTGGAAGCAAGACGAAAGTATTTTAAAGAGCCTATCCTAAAGATAGATTCTTCAGGCGCGGGTTGGGTACCTTTTTCCGTCGCGCGCTGCCGGAAGGTCCTAGTCTTGAGGCTAATGGCGGACGCCGGCGGATTGGTGATGGCCTTGGCTTAGGCCTTCAAGGGACTTAGTATCCATCGAATACCTGCGCCATCCTTCCCTCCGTAGGGTAAAGAAGTGGCCTCACGACTTCCCTGGCCCTGGGTAATTGAAGAGCGACCACGTAGGAGGGTTCCCCGACACTTTGGCGGGAGTCTCGGACAGTCTAGGCCTCAGTGGTTTGGGCAGGGGACCGGGAGTGTTAGGGGAATGCCTGGGCTGCGAAAACGACTTCTTGGGATCTTCTGATTTAGTCCGGAGTGGGAACGACTGCCGGCTCATAATAAGGCTTGTAGAAATTTTCTCCTTTGAGACTCGAGAGATTTGAGAAGGAGCGGCACGTCACCCGCCCTCTGGAGAGTAGATGGCACCTACGAAGGCTAAGCTTGTTAAAAGCAAAAATAATGGAAACAGTCGTTGGAACTAGTTCTCTGGTTTTAGTGCGTTTTGGTAGTTAGGCAACTTGTTTCGTCCTCTCAGCCTGTTTGTCGTGTGCAAAATGAGGGACTATAGTCAGTATCTTGGAGACTTGGGAGCCCAAATGCGGCGATGTTCCCTTGAAACGCGGAGGAGGATGGAGTGAGCCACCACACTGGCTTCTTTTAGTGATCGCAGAGAGGAGATAGGCATGGGGAGGGTTGCTGAGCTTCCCAGGTTTGGGCCGTTTATGTTTCCTGTTATGTAGTTCCTGTACTACTGGGCTGATCTGCCTCCAGAAAGTGCCTTCCTCTGTTACCCAAGATGAAAATGTAGCTGGAGAACTTCGATCCAACTACGTTTGTAGTGGATGGCATCTGTTAAAAGGAAATGGGGGAAATTGGCTAGATTCTCCTGATCAGCTACAAAGAAAGCAAGCAAGCCTGGCGGGAGCTGCTCAGGGTTTCAGAAGTGGTTCGTGGTAGTCTTCTCTTTTTCTTTTCCTGTTATCCTGGAAGAACATTATATTTCTTTAGGAAGATTTATCTCTCAGTACCCATTTCTAATCTGGAGGATTGAGCTTGTCACCTTGCTTTTGTGCAGCCCAGAAATACAAGGACGCTTAGTATTATGGTTTAACAACAAAAAGCAAATTTATATTAAACACCAATGTCTGGATTTCTAAAGACCCCTTGCTTTTGCTTATAAATAATTACATAGGGGAAAGATAATTCAGTTTATTTTTTTAGTGATCTCCATGCATGCGTGTAGTTTTAGGTAATTCTGTGTGGCAGAGATACCTCAGTTTGTGCCATTTTCAGTGTCATCTGCTGAGAAGGAATCCCTTCTTTATAACTATATCACTTTAGGGAGGCCTACTTCTGGTGTTGCAGGAATTAAATTTGCTTTCAGTGTTTGATGGTGATTAGGTTCAGATGTTAAATTATAACTTCTCATCAGGCTGGGGATGTAGCTCAGTGGTAGCATGTTTGTTTGGCTGTTAATGTTTCCTTTTATATAGTTAGTATGGGTTCTATCCCCAAATCACCACCATTACCCCCCCCCCCCACACACACACACAAACACAAAAGGGAATGCTTCTCATGTATAGAGCTATGTAAGAGATGAAAATGAAAACTACACCAAGACACCAATTTTCATCTCTTAGATTAGCAAAGGTTGAAATGTTAACATCACTTTGGCCAATTAAGGGGGAAGATGAACTCATGTGTTGCTGGACTAGTAAATTGGTTGGGTCTATTTGGAAAGGCAGTTTGGTAGTATCTATCAAAATTTATATGTATGAACCTTTCAATCTATGACTTTTAGGAATTAATCTTAGGGATGTACTCATGCATAAATGAAACATGAAGTATTTTCTGTGTGACAGTGATTGTAATAGTTAAGAGGTTGAAACAAGCTCAATGTTAATTAGTGGAGTATTGGCTAAATGAATTATAACCATTAAATGGAATACTTGCCACTATCAGATAAAAATGAGAAAGCCCTTTATTGCTATCTCAAAGTAGTTAAATAATAAGAAATCAGTTGTACTATAGTGTGAGTATATAAAATATAGTTCTCAACCTTATGTTAATCAAGAGAAGGTAGAACAGTATAAATATATCTGTATATATGGAAGGATACAATATGATTTGATAAAATTGATTCCCCCAGGGAGAACTGGATGATTAGGGAATGGATTAGAGGGAGTTTTTTGCTGTGCTTTTTGAATTTAACCATTTGAATGTAAGCCTATTAGAATACAATTAAACATAGACCTACATAAACATTGACAAAAAAGTAAACAAAGTTGCATTGATGGAATATATCCCAGCTTCCTCCCTTTCACCACTTGGCTTTATGATCTTAGGCAGTTGATTTAATTTCTGAGCCCCAGTGTCCTTATCTATAAAATTAGTATAAAACTGCATACTTTTTAGGATTCTTGTGAGATTGCAAGTGAAGTATATAGTGGTGCCTGGTATGTAGAAGGCACTCTTAATTACCAGTGTTGTTTTTTAATAGGCCTTATTCTACTCGTTCTGCTACCTTCAATCAGAAATTCCTGTACAAAAATATCTGTTAAAATAATAATTTCCCAGCTACTTTTTTGTTTTTATGTGTCCTTAGCTTGCTTTGACTTGACTGTTGGTATTACCAAGTCCTAGAGTACTGAGTGGCTTAGTTTTGTTGCCATCATGTTCCTGTACAATTTGACCTTGCAGCGAGCCACTGGCATCAGCTTTGCCATTCATGGCAATTTCTCTGGTAAGTTCTCCAGCCAGTTACTATTTTTGTGAATTGAAACGAGTCATTACATATTTTGCTTATATTTTGTGGAGGAAATGTTTTCCACTTATAAGAAGGTAATTGTTGGTAAATGTGAACAATCCAAATGTGGCTTGTAATCCATGAAATTTCTATTAAATTGAAGTGTATCATTTGTTACTTAATTCCAGACAGATTTCTTAGCTCTGTGTATGATGATTTTTCCAGAAGTGCACATTTCTTGTGCTATTTACTTGGTGCCAGGTTAATTGTATTTTGCTGTAAGACATAACAAGATGTGTAAGTCTTGATCCTTGATCCTAAATTTGATATCAGATTGGATAAAAAGAATGTCTAACTGGGCGCAGTGGCACACGCCTATAATCTCAGGGTCTTGGGAGGCAGAGGCAGGAGGGTTGCAAGCTCAAAGCCAGCCTCAGCAATTTAGGTCTCACTCATCCCGTCTCTAATAAAAACATAAAAAAAAGGACTGGGGACGTGGCTCCATGGTTAAGTGCCCCTGATTCAATCCTGGTTCCCCCCCCCCGCCCCAAAAGGTGTTACCAGAGAGAATAGTTAATTCAAAAGGTTTTTTTATTCTTACTTTTTAAAGGAAGGTTGTACCTTATCTTGGTATATTAAAATTTTTGTGTAAGAGAAGGGGAAGTGCAATTTAGATAGAAATTGCTATGTGTGTAGAAACAACATTTACTGATGTTTTGTTTTTGGTACTGGGGATTGAACCCATGGGTGCTTTACCATGGAGCCACATCCCCAGCGTTTTTTACTTTTTTGAGACAGGGTCTGGCTATAAGTTGCTAAGGGCCTTTGCTGTGTTTTTGAGGCTGGCCTAAACTTAAAACAATCCTCCTGTCCTTAGCCTCCCAAGTTGCTGGGATTGTAGACATGTGCCACTGTACCCAGCTCATTTGCTGATGTTACTCACAACCTAAATTGTGTCACACATAGTGAGCTGAACTCTTGGGGGATAATTTTGGAGAGATAAATTAAAAACAAATTATGTGGGGGAAAAAGTCTTTTTTTCTTTTTTACCAGGAAATGAACCCAGGGGCACTTAGCCACTGAGCTGCATCCCCAACCTTTTTTAGTTTTTATTTTGAGGCAGGTTCTTTTGCTGAGGCTGGCCTTGAACATCCCTGCCTCAGCCTCCCAAGTTGTGGGGATTATAGTTGTGTGCCACCACTCCTGGCCAATTGTGTGACATTTTGAATATCAGATTTAAAAAAAGAAATATCAGATAGTAGAATTACAGAAAATAAGCTACTAATATGTATAAAAATAAAACCTTGCCATTGTAGATTTGAACTTTTTTTTTTTTGGTACTGGGCACTTGAACCACTGAGCTACAACCCTAGGCCCCCCCTTTTTTTGAGATGGGGGGTGGGGGGCTTACTAAATTGCTTAAGGCCTCACAGATTGCTGAGGCTGGCTTTGAACTTGGAATCCTGCCTCAGCCTCCCGAGTGGCTGGGATCACGGATGTGTATGCAACTATACCCAGCTTACATTTGAACATTTGTAAGTTAATTCATAAGTAATGCAGGAAGTTCATGAGTGTGTAGACAATTTTTTGAGATTCAAGTTCTTAAAGTAACTTGTGGCTGGACTTGGTGGTACACACCACTGTAATCCCAGTGACTTGGGAGGCTGAGTCAAAAGGATCACAAGTTTGAGGCCAATCTCAGCAGCTTAGCAAGACTTTGTCTCAGAATAAAAAATAGAAAGACTCAGAGTGTAGCTCAGTAGTAAGGCACTTTGGGGATCAATCCCCAGTACCAAACAAAAAATAAAACAAAAACAGTGGGCCCCCCAACTTGTTTATCTTCAGTGGCATTTCGATTTAGCTAGGTTGTTATTGGGCTATCTCTGGTTGTTTATGATCTTTAATTTTTGGTGATCTAGGAACCAAACAACAGGAAATTGTTGTTTCTCGTGGGAAGATCTTGGAGCTACTTCGCCCAGACCCTAACACTGGAAAAGTACATACCCTCCTCACTGTGGAAGTATTTGGTGTTATCCGGTCACTCATGGCCTTTAGGTTGACAGGTGGCACCAAGGACTACATTGTAGTTGGCAGTGACTCAGGTCGGATTGTTATCTTGGAATACCAGCCATCTAAGAATATGTTTGAGAAAATTCACCAAGAAACTTTTGGCAAAAGTGGATGTCGCCGAATTGTTCCTGGCCAGTTTTTAGCTGTGGATCCCAAAGGGCGAGCTGTTATGATTAGTGAGTGACTTGCTTTATTTACTCAAAAGAGTGCATCTTTTGATTCTTATAAATGCTCAGTTTAGGATAATGATGCTGTGATCTTGGCAGTGTGCCAGTCAAGTTGTTTAACCTGGGTGAAGTTGGGCATTTTATTTGAATTCAGTTACATTTCCCTTTTTTTAAGTTGTTAAATGATAGGAAAAGTCTTAAGGTACCTGTTTTACTTCTCACCTGTTGGTAATAGTTGTTTTTCAATTTATTTGTGGCAAAGACTGTAAAGAAATCTTACATGTTTTTAGAAAGTGAATATGGTTGCTTTCCTCATCAGCCTGAAGTGATGATTCACATTCATGTCTCTTCTCTGATAAATTTTTGAAGGAAATTCTGTGTATCTGATCAGGCCTCTAGAGGGCAACCCTCTCTGAGCAGTCACAAAAATCATGAGGTCTAATTTTAAAAAAATGATTTTGTTATTATTTAGTTTCCCAGTATCCTTAAATATAGGGCATATTTTTGAAGAGTTATTCAGATATTAAGATTCTCTTAGGAAGGGATGCAGAATCTTGAGTTACTATACTTGTTGACTTAATGCTGGCTGTTAAAAAGTAATCATGGTGTGAATTGAGCTGTTGTGTGACTCATTATGTGGAAATCTGGTATGTTTTGTCTCCTTGAACTGTAGGTGCCATTGAGAAACAGAAGTTGGTATATATCTTGAACAGAGATGCTGCAGCCCGACTTACCATTTCATCTCCCTTGGAGGCTCACAAAGCAAACACTTTAGTATATCATGTGGTTGGAGTAGATGTAGGATTTGAAAATCCAATGTTTGCTTGTCTGGAAATGGATTATGAGGTAATGAGGACTGTGTTTTTCTCTTTGTCTTCTTTGAATTTCTTCCAGTCTCCTCATTGTCTTCCTACAATTGTTTTGTTTATTCACATTGTAAATCTGTCTTGCTAGCAGATATCCATATTCCAAATACCTTACTGAAATTCTCTGGAAGGTTTCAGAGCTTAACCAGTTGACTGTATACATAGTAGCCTTTGCTCTGATTTAAACAATCTCCCTATGGGCTAAAGTATTTGTTGGGGAAAGCTGGATGAAAAAGGTGAATCCCTGTTTGGGATATTTTTCCCAAAGGAAGATGGTGAAAGGCAGAGCATATCCATCTTTGCCTTGAATGGAAGGTAGACATAGAGACCCAGAATTTGGAGATATGGGTCCTTGTTCTAGCTCTATCATTATATAGTAGTGTGAACTTTGTAACCGTGGCCCTCTGTTTTCTCATGTAAAATGAGGAGATCTAATGTCTTTTCCTAGTCTACTTACAAATTCTTTGGTTTTATGATTCTAATTGATTGGTTTTATGCTACTGTACTTCTCTGTAGGAAGCAGACAATGATCCAACAGGGGAAGCAGCAGCAAATACTCAGCAGACACTTACTTTCTATGAACTAGACCTTGGTTTAAATCATGTGGTCCGAAAATACAGTGAACCTTTGGAGGAACATGGCAACTTCCTTATAACAGGTACTTTTCTTGCAGAGCTGCTCTGTCCCTTTTATTTGATCCATTTGATGCCCAAACTTAGTGAGGTTTGAAAAGTAATTTATTTGTAGTAAACTTGAGTACCTTTTCTATGTTTCATTGAGGGTAGAAATTAGTACAGTGATAAAAAGAAAAAGTATTGTTGGAGAGAAGTATCTAGCTCCTTAGTAGCTTTCATAATCTAATGGGAGTGGGGAGGAAAGGACACAGCTTGAAATATTGATTACTACTAGTTGCTGTGATAATTTGATTGTAGTCAGTTTTTCCTTTTCACCCAAACGTATTTTGAAAGGACAGATAAAATGAACAAACTCAACAAGGCAAAGCTCTATGTCTGAATTTGAAAACTAAATGCATAGGAAGATTTTGAAACTAAAATCAGTTACAAAACTGATCCAAAGAAAGAAAAGACTAACATCCATTAATAAAATTAGAGCTATTGTCAGGAATATTTCCTTTAAAAAATTTCAGGGAACTCTTAGTACCTTGTAGAAAGTTATATATTTCTACTTTTATCACTTGCTGTAGCATATTACCACATCTTTCACTTATGAGAACTTTGTTGTTGTTGTTGTTTGGTGCTGGGGGTTGAACCCAGAAACCCAGTACCTCTAGCATGCCAGGCAAACACTCTACCACTGAGCTATACCCCAAGCTCCATTCAACAAGTTTTTATTGAGCTTAATCAGTCAGTATATGCCAAGTCAGATTACTGGGTCCTGGGACTGTAGTGGTGAAAATTGGATGTGGTATTTCCCTTCCTACAGGATTGAGTCTAGTGGTAAATAAAACATCAACAACAACAACAAAAAATTGCCAGATTTTGTGCCTATTATCATGATAACGTAGAGGAGGGACCTAGGGAATGGGAGGGAATGTGTAAGAGAAAGCTTTCTGAAAAACTTGAGCTAAGACCTGAAGAGTAGGTCTGAACTGAGATCTGAGGGAGTTTCTGTTGCAGCATTCACCAAGAATACACTTTAAGAATGGAAAGCTTATTGGGATTGGGTTATTAGAGTTAAAGGGCTGGGAGAGGGATAGTCGTGAAATGGTATTTTCTGAAGTATTTCAAGCAGGGGAATAATATTTCAAGCTCAGGAGGACATCTAATAAAGATGGACAGTTTAGAAAGATAACTGCTTACATTTTGCCTAATAGAATAGAGGATATTAACACTGTAAGCCCGAAAACTGACGAGGGAGTTCTTTCACTAACAGATATTAGCAGCATGAGAGCTACTAAGGAGGTAGAATCAGTAAGGCTGTGAAAGGGAAGAGAACTACAGGATGACACCCAGGTTTCTGGAATAGTCTGTTGTTCAGTGGTGGCAATCTCAGGTAGAGAACCCAGGAGGTGAAATAGGTTTGGGTAGGAAATTAAGTTTATTTATGAGCATGCTGTACTTTTGAAGTACTGTGGGATTTCCATATCCAGTAGTTAATTATATTATAGATCTGAATATGAGTACTGAATTCTAGATTTGAATATAGAAATTTAGATGCATTATTAAGGCTAAGATCAACCAAATCTTTCACATAAACACAAACTGCTCCATCCTTATCTAGTATGTTCATAAGGGAGAAACTCTTGGAACGTTTCTCTGCTTCAGGTATACTGTCATCATCAAGCTGTGAAGGAGAGAAACAGTTGAAAGTGAAAGTAATTCATGGGTAAATCAAATAACTGCTAAGTTTTATTTTTTTCTTGACAGTTCCAGGAGGATCAGATGGTCCAAGTGGAGTGTTGATCTGCTCTGAAAACTATATCACCTACAAGAACTTTGGTGACCAACCGGATATACGGTGTCCAATTCCCAGGAGACGGGTAAGGCCTTTGTTTACCATAAGAAGAAAGATTATTTGTGAAATGAATTCAGCTTTTAAGACTGCAGTGTAGTCTCTTAGTTTATCTCCTATCAAGTTTTAAGTTTTTTTTTTTTTAATATTTTTAGTTGGACATGATATCTTTATTTATTTTTATGTGGTGCTGAGGATCGAACTCAGGGCCTTGCACATTCTAGGCGAGTGCTCTACTGCTGAGCCACAATCCCAGCCCTTGTAAATGTTATTTTTAATAAAGCTGGTAACAAGTTTCAGTAAAAGCAAAATATTATTTGAAGGTTAGGAAAAAATTAAATGTTTATTTCAGAGGAATCTGTAGGTAATTGTAAATTTGAAATTCCTGAAAATTTCTAGTTTGAAAAATCCAAACATTTGTTGGAAATAGATTATCTTTTATTCTGTTTCTGTCCCCCCCCGCCCCAACATTTTATTTTGAAAAACTCCCAACATATAGAATATTTTAAAACAATAGAACAACCAGATGCAGTAGCATATGCCTGTAATCCCAATGACTTCTGAGGTGTTGCAAGTCAGCCTCCTAAATAACTTAATGAGGCCCTGTCTCAGAAGAAAAATAAATAAAGAGGGCTTGGGATACGACCCAATGTTAAGTGCCCATGGGTTTAATGTACCGAAAAACCAAAAAACAAAACACAAAACAAAAACCAAAAGAACAGTGAATTCCCATAGACCTTCATTAGATTCACTAGTTACTAATACCTTAACTACATTTACCTTTTCTTATGATATGTATACTTTTTCCAGGCTAACCTATTTGAAAATAAGTTGCAGGTGTCATGACAATTAATTCCAAATATAGTCTTCTAGGATGTGTCTTCTGAAAACAGACATTGTCTTATATAACCACAGTGCTAATATCACATCCAAGAAATTTTAATATTTTCGTGTAATACAGTTAGCTTAGATATAGTACATATTCAGATTTCCTTTGTTCTAAAATGTCCCCTTCATAATTTGCCTTTACTCTTTTTAAACTTAGGACATTTTCTCTCACCTTTGTTTTGGTTTTTTTATGATAATTACATTTTTGTGAATCTTGGCTAATTTTCTTTTTTATTATTTTTTTATTTATATATGACATCGGAATGTATTACAATTCTTATTACATAATTTTTCATATTTCTGGTTGTATGCAAAGTATATTCACAGCAATTTGTGTCTTCATACCTGTTCTTTGGATAATAATGATCCTCACATTCCACCATCATTAATAACCTCATGCCCCCTCCATTCCCCTCCAGCCCCTCTGCCCTACCTAGAGTGCATTTATTCCTTCCATGCTCCCTCTCCCTATCCCACTATCCCACTATGAATCAGCTTCCTTATATCAAAGAAAACATTCAGCATTTGGTTTTTTGGGATTGGCTAACTTCACTTAGCATTATCTTCTCTAATTCCATCCATTTACCTGCTAATGCCATGATTTTATTCTCTTTTATTGCTGAGTAATATTCCATTGTGTATATATACCACATTTTTTTTTTTTATCCATTCTTCTACTGAAGGGCATCTAGGTTGGTTCCACAGTTTAGCTATTGTGAATTGTGCTGCTATAAACATTGACGTGTAGTTAAGTCCTTTGGGTATAGACCGAGGAGAGGGATAGCTGGGTCAAATGGTGGTTCCATTCCCAGTTTTCCAAGAAATCTTCATACTGCTTTCCATATTGGCTGCACCAATTTGCAGTCCCACCAGCAGTCTATGAGTGTACCTTCCCCCCCCCCATCCTCACCAACACTTACTGTTGTTTGTCTTCATAGTAGCGGCCATTTTGACTGGAATGAGATGAAATCTTAGAGTGGTTTTGATTTGCATTTCTCTAACTGCTGGTGATGATGAACATTTTTTCATATATTTGTTGACTGATTGTATATCCTCTTCTGAGGAGTGTCTGTTCAGGTCCTTGGTCCATTTATTGATTTGGTTATTTGTTTTTTTGGTGCTTAGCTATTTGAGTTCTTTATATACCCTAGAGATTAGTGCTGTATCTGATGTGTGAGGGGTAAAAATTTGCTCCCAAGATGTAGGCTCTCTATTCACCTCACAGATTGTTTCTTTTGCTAAGAACTTTTTAGTTTGAGTCCATTTCATTTATTGATTGTTGATTTTAATTCTTGCACCACAGGAGTCTTACTAAGGAAGTTGGGGCCTAATCTCACATGATGGAGATTAGGGTACTTTTTCTTCTATAAGGGATACACATAGGAAAAGAAGAACTCAAATTGGCTAATTTTTCTTAAAGTTTGTCCCTTATTCTATTTTTTTTAAATGATTATATTCAGGCTAATATTTTTGCTAGGGTTATTATATAGATGGTGATGTTTATTTCTCACTGTGTCACATTATGCTTAAATAATATTGGATTGTCTCATTGTTCATGCCAAATTGATCACTTAATTAAGGTGGTATCCACCCACTCTCTTCCTAACGGTACCTTTTTTTTCCTGTAATTAATATGGAATCTGGTGGTGGTCTTTGAGATCTTTTCCCTGTGGGGAAAACCCAGGGTGCTCTACCACTGAGCTACATCCCCAGTTCTTTTTATTTTTAATGTCGAGACAGGGTCTTGCTAAGTTGCTGGAGTTTTGATCTTGAACTTATGATCTTTTCAATCCTCCTTCCTCAACCTTTTTATCTTTTCATCCTGTAATTTTGTTATTGATCTTTGTCCTGGATCAGTTATTAAATTCTCTCTCCTTACCCCTGAAAAGAAATTTAATCTTCATCAGTCATGGAAAGTTAGTTGCTCTTACATTTAGTGAGCACCTGCCTATCTCGGACACTATACTTGCTTTGAGGCAACAAAGAAGTGTAAAACTTCACAAAGAGTTTATTCTAAGAAATACAAAATGTTGGAGACATAAATAAAGCAAATCAAAACAAAAAACCCAGCTGTGCATGGGGTCATAGGCCTATAATCCTAGCTACCTGGGAGGCTCAGGCTGGAGGACTGTAAGTTTGAGACCGACCTCAGCAACTTAGCCACACTTGGTAAGAGTAGGGTGCTGAGTTCCAAAAATAAGAAGTAGCCATTTCTAACGTATTGTGTGCTTGACTTTGCTAGAATGACCTGGATGACCCTGAAAGAGGAATGATTTTCGTTTGTTCTGCCACCCATAAGACCAAATCAATGTTCTTCTTTTTGGCCCAAACTGAGCAGGGTGATATCTTCAAGATCACTTTGGAAACAGATGAAGATATGGTGAGTAGACCATTGATAGAGGGGGGAAAATGAAACAAAACAATAAATACACTTGTAATTTTTTTGATGAAAGTTTGTACATTTTATTTTAATATAATTAAATATTTTAATTTAATGTAATTACATTAAAAAATCCTATGTATATATATTTAAGGTTTATAAAGCTTTACAAACCATTTATTCATTGTAGCTGCTCTCTTGAAATGAGGTGGGTAAGATAGTTAATATTTTACAAGTTAGAAAGTTGGAAATTTAGGATACCTTAGGCTTGTATCTGAATGTTTTCCTACTCTAGTTAGTAAGTACCTGGTCTAGTGTGTAATGAGATTGGGCAGTGTCACTTTAAACAAAAATCATGGCTGGCTTTTGAGCTGTAGCTTGTTCATTCCTGGTTAGATACTGGGGACGGTATTTTATTTGCTACTCAGCTTATGCTGTTTTATACTAGTATTGGACTTCTATGCCAAACTTCACTTGCCTATACACTAGAATCTTTTCTTTTCACTCCAGGTAACTGAGATCCGGCTGAAATATTTTGATACTGTGCCTGTTGCTGCTGCCATGTGTGTGTTGAAAACAGGCTTCCTTTTTGTAGCATCAGAATTTGGAAACCAGTGAGTAATCCTTTTATTAACTTGGTTTGCCTTGGTTACTATAAAAATTGGCAGGAGGGAGGTGTATTTCTAGGTTGTGGAGCTTTTCACAAGAGTATTTTTATTTTATTTGGTTTTATTAGAATATTTGAGGTTTTTTTTTTTTTTTTTTTTTGTGTGTGTGTGTGTGTGCAAGGGATTGAACCCCAGAGTGTGTAACTACTGTGTGTGGATCCACATCCCCTGCCTTTTTTCATTTTTTATTTTGAGATAGGGTCTCGGTAAGTTACAGGGGCTGACTTTGAACTTTTGATCCTCCTGCCCCAGCCTCCTGAGCCTCTGGGATTACAGTTGTGCACCACCACACCTAAGGATTGCCCTCCTTTCCTCTTTACATTTATTCTGTTTGCTTCTTTACTTTGATGGCTTCAATCAGTACTTAATCAATGTCTACAGAAATATCTGTAAAAGTCACATCTTTTCTGAGCTTTTTGTTGTGTATTACATTGAATGTTTATTTGAATTACTTAACTAAGTAAGGGATTTTGTTGGGGAGAGTACTAGAGATTGAACTCAGGGGTGCTTTACCATTGAGATCTATCCCTGATCCTTTTAATGTTTTATTTTGAGTCATGGGCTCACTGTTACTGAGGGTTTAACCTTTCATTTGGAATTCTTTTTCTTTTTTAAGAATTTAAACTTTATTTATGTTTACGTGGTGCTGAGGATCAAATCCAGGGCCTTACCCATGCCAGGCAAGCTCACTTCCACTAAGCTTTAACCCTAGCCCCCTCATTTGGATATTTTTGATCTGTTGGTTGACTCTAAAGATGCAGGGAACCCATGGATGGAGGGGTTAACTGTACCATTTCACTTTTCACATTTGGCCTGTTAATGTTTTCATCCATTTCCAAGTTTTTACTTTTTTATATATATATTTTAGCTGTAGATAGACACAATATCTTTATTTTATTTATTTGTGGTGCTGAGATTGAACCCAGTGCCTCGCACATGCTAGGCAAGTGCTCTATCACTGAGCCACAACTCCAGCCCAAGGTTTTACTTTTTGTGCAAGAAATATTTATTGTAGAAGTGAGGATGAGTATACAAACATTGCTTTTAATCCTTTAATCCACAGATAACATTTTTCTATATCCTCTGTGTGTGTTCAATTTAGATATTTTTACATAATGTCACCACGTATTATGTACCATTTTATAGCTTTTTCCCTGTCCCCTGGTGGTACTGAGGATTGAACCACGGCCTTGCAAATGCAGGCAAGCTTTCTACCACTGGACTAACTACATCCTCAGGCATTTTTATTTTGAGACAGAGTCTTGCTGAGTTGCCCAAGCTGGCCTCAAATTTGAAATCCTCCTGACTCATGAGTAGCTTGGATTATAAGTGTGCACATCATGTCCAGCTAATCATTTTTAATTGTTCAAATTCACCGATATTAATTTTATTTTATAATGCTGTGCAACCTTTATTTTCTTTCCAACATTTTCTTATCACCCAAGACAGAAATTCTGTGCCTGTTAACCAATAAGTTCATGTTCCCCTTCCTCCAACCCCTGGTAACTTTTTTTTTTTTTTTAGTTGTAGATGGACACAATACCTTTATTTTATTTATTTATTTTTTTATATGGTGATGAGGATTGAACCCTCATGCTAGGCAAGCGCTCTACCACTGAGCCACAACCACAGCCCTCTTATTGGGTTTTGCAGGTATTTAATAAGAATACTTCTGCCAAGCACTTAAGTATTTGGTGATGTGGGGGATTACTAGGGATTAAACCCAGAGCCATTTTATGACTGAGCTACATCCCCAACCCTTTTTGTTTTTTATTTTTGAGACAGGGTTGCTTAGAGCCTCGTTAAATTGCTGAGGCTGGCCTCAAACTCTCAATCTTTCTGCCTCAGCCTCCCCAGCTCTGGAATTATAGGTGCATACCACCTCACCCAGCTAGCGCTAAGTACTTTTGTGTTGTAACCATTTAGTAAATATTGATTATTACCATACCTGTTAATTTATTCTAGTAATGTGGAAAGTTTTGGAAAATGATTAAAAAAGCAAATAACTCACTATTGTATTATCCCAGAACAGTTTAACATTTTGCTATATTTATTTGCATATTTTTGATTTAATTTTAAAGAATGGTCTCATTCTTTTTTCACTTAAAGTTTTCATTTTTTGTATATTACAGAAATTTTCTTAACAGGAGAGAGTAGTATAATGAACCTATTGTGCCCATCACTCAGTTTCAGCCCAGATTCTTGACCAGTCTTGTTTTATTTATACCTTGGGGAAATTCTATTCTTTAGCTTTGAAATGAATTCCAGATAGCATACTTTAACATCACACCTGAGGCTGGGGCTGTAGTTCAGTGGCTGAGCGCTCGCCTCACGTGCATGAGGCCTTGGGTTCGATCCTCAGCACCACATACAAATATAAATAAAGATATTGTGTCCATCTACAACTAAAAAAATATTTAAAAAAAACACATTACACCTACAAGCAATAACAGGAATTTTTTTTTAGTATAATTAAATAGCACTAGCATTATTGTTGATATGATAATCAGACATTGTCTTGAGTCTTTTAACTAAAGTCTTTCTTTGCATCTTCCTAGTTACTTATATCAAATTGCACATCTTGGAGATGATGATGAAGAACCTGAGTTTTCATCTGCTATGCCTCTGGAAGAAGGAGATACATTCTTCTTTCAGCCAAGACCACTCAAAAACCTTGTATTGGTGGATGAACTGGACAGCCTTTCTCCCATTCTATTTTGCCAGGTGTGGGCCTTTCCAATTACCTCCATGATGCACAATGCTAGCCAGCTGATTTGAATATCAAGTGTAATAAGTTTAAAGTTTTTCTTAAGTTAAATTAAGGTGTAGTCTAAGAACCATATAACTATGGAATCAATATATAAAGGTGAAGCAGTTAACGATAGTTTTAGGAACTGAAAACTACTAATAAATCTTCGGGTTTTTTTTTTGTTGTTGTTGTTGTTTGTTTGTTTTTGGGTACTGGGGATTGAACTCAGGGTCACTTAACCACTAAGCTACATCTCCAGCCCTTTTTTGTATTGTATTTAGAGACAGGGTCTCACTGAGTTAATTTGGGTCTCGATAAGTTGCTGAGGTGGGCTTTGAACTCCTCATTCTCCTGCCTCAGCCTCCCGAGTTGCTGGGATCATAGTAGTGCGCCACCACTCCCAGCTTTATTTTTTAGTAAATCTTTTTCAGTGTACATATTCAAACTATATAAAAGGTTTTAAAGTCCTGCCCCTCCAAGTCTTCTCAAACTGGAACTCTATGGAGCCCATTACTATTAGCAACTTCTTGTGGTGGCTTCCAAGTATTTTGTCTGCATCTGCAATTATATATATGTTGTGTGGTTACATCTTTTTTGTTTTTGAAGTGAATGGGTTTATGTGCTACACAGTATTTCTGACTTGACCTTTTTTCACATAGAAGTCTGCTTATAGCTGTACATACCTAATTTTAATATAGTTTCTCTTTAAAAGAACTAGACACTGGAATCATTCAGCAACAGGGTTTTGTTTGTATTTTTTGGTGGGGGTCAGGGATTGAACCCAGTGGCACTTAATCATTGAATCACATCCTCAAGCCCATTTTTTAAAAAAATATTTTTTTAGTTGTAGTTGGAAACAATATCTTTATTTTATCTTTATGTGGTGCTGAAAATTGAACCCGGTGCCTCACACGTGCTAGGCTAGCGCTCTACTACTGAGCCACAATCTCAGTCCCCCAAGCCCATTTTACCTTTTATTTTGAGACAGGATTTTGCTTAGTTGCTTTGGGCCTTGCTAAGCTGCTGAGGCTGCCTAGAACTTGCAATCCTCCTGCCTCAGCTTCTCTGGGATCACAGGTGTGTGCCACTGTATCCAGCAACTTAGTGACACCCTGTCTCAAAAATTATTTTAAAAAGGGCTGGTTCCTAAAGGTCACATAAACTCCTGCGATCTAGGGCACAACAGGATTGAACTCAGGTTCACTTAACCACTAAGCCACATCCCCAGCCCTTTTTCGTATTTTTACAAATTTTTAATCATATCTTTGAGGAAAAAAGTGAAGAGGCTCAGGATGGAGATTGTGTCTCCCACTACTGACCTCAGGTGTAGCACCTGGGAATCTTACCATGTTGTTGTGCCCTAGATCGCTAGTTTGTGTGACCTTTAGGAACCAGCCCTTTTTAAAAAAATTTTATTTTGAGACAGGGTGTCACTAAGTTGCTTAGGGCCTCAATAAATTGTTAACTGTCCTTGAAATTGGGATCTTTACAACTCAGTCTCCTCAGCCACCGGGATTATAGGTGTGTACCACTATACCTGGCCGCCCACTGTTGGAGTTTTAAGTTGTGAAAAGTAATATATATGCCTTTTTTTTAAAAAGGCTTTATAAATAAATAGCAATATGATGCATTTTAAATAGGTGAGCTAGGACCTGGGGGTGTAGTGCCTAGGATACATGAGTCCCTGGGTTTGATTCCCAGTACAGCAAAAAGAAAAAAATACATACTTCTAAGTTATTTATTTTTTCAGAGAACAAAATGATGGTTGTATATGTACTCAGAACCTACATGATCATCTATTACAATAAACTCTCCTGCTGTTCAAAGTTCAGGAATTTTCATTTGAATTGTCCAGTTGGGCAAAACTGTAATACAAATGGTTCACCTGTTTTCACATATTAATCAAGAATCAGTTGTACTGGAAAGCAGCCAGATGTCTCGGATATTAATATGAGAACACATGACTTCCCTATGTGGTGGCTGAATACTAGCAGCTATTGGGTGTAGAATTATCTAATAGCTGGTCAGCTACATCAGAGGAATACCTGTAGGTACTATGACTGATTATATCAGTCTGACACCAGGTCTGAAAAATACAATTTTGTTGTGATGGGGATAACATTTCTGAGTATTAACTTTAATAAATGTAGCTTCTATTGGTGACAGTGTTGCATCTTGATTACATTATAGTTTGTTACCTATATTTTTAATTGGAAGAAAACCATTTCAGAATGGAGATTATACTATATTTCACTAAGCGCCAAGTCCCCTCCCTCCCCCCTCTTTTTTTTTAATATTTATTTTTTAGTTTTCGGTGGACACAACATCTTTGTTTGTATGTGTTGTTGAGGATCGAACCCAGGCCGCACGCATGCCAGGCGAGCGCGCTACCGCTTGAGCCACATCCCCAGCCCCTCCCCTCCCTCCCCTTTAAAAAATATTTTTGTCTAGTTGTAGATGGACACAATACCTTTGTTTCATTTATTTATTTTTATGTGGTGCTGAGTAGCAAACCCAGTGCCTCACACATGCTAGGCAAGCACTCTACCACTGAGCTGCAACCCCAGCCCCTGCCAAGTCCCCTTTTTAACTTGTGAATTGATGTAACCCTTTTTTAGTTTTGGAAAAATTTGCTGCTTAAAAATAGTTTACTTTTTGGAACATGGGGGCTTTTTTTCTCTCTATATTCCGGGGTCAGTAGAAGTTTGTCCCTCTAAGAATGACAATTGTGTTTGAAAACTTAGCATAAGTAGACATTTTTTCCCTTGTTCTCTGCAGATAGCTGATCTGGCCAATGAAGATACTCCACAGTTGTATGTGGCCTGTGGTAGAGGACCTCGGTCATCTCTAAGGGTCTTAAGGCATGGACTTGAGGTAAGATGGCAATTTCTAGATTCTCAGCAGTGTTTGAAGGAAAGCATGGGCAAAGCAGTTTATGGGATTACTTTGATGAAGTCATAAATACATATGATGTTTGTATGGGGGAAAAATGTTTTTCCATATTTTCCTAAAGTTTAGAGTGTCTACATTACCTAGTTCTTAGACTGGGTAGTAGAGACTAGAAAAACTGCATGGAATTTTTTTCTTCTAGTTTTTATTAAAAGGTTTTGTTTTGTTTTGTGCTTTTTCTTTTGTCTTTGTTGGTACTAGGGATTCAACCCAGGGGCACTGAACCATATCCCCAGCCCTTGTTTATTTTGAGACAGGGTCTTGCTAACTTGCTTAGGGCCTCATTAAATTGCTGAGGCTGGCTTTGAACTTGAGATCCTCCTGCTTCAGCCTCCCAAACCTGGGATTATAGGCATGTGCCACCATGCCTGGCTTTTATTCAAAGTTTTAATTTTGATTTTGGGGGGGGGATTGTGCTGGATTTGAACACTCATCATCAGTGAGCTGCATCGTTAACCCCTGGTATCATTAAATTTATTCCTTGTTACTGTATGCTCTTAAGTTATATTGTTTTTTTATGTTTCTGCAGTATTTCACCAAAGTGAATAGATTAGAATTTTTAAAAATAAGTTATTTATTGATGGATCTTTAGGTGATATGGATTCTGAGAATTAACTTCTCAAATCCCATGTCTTATTGTCCTGGTGTTAATTCTAGCAAGAGCCCTGGAATTGCTCTTGTTTGAAGAAAAATAAACTTTCTTATGACAGTTTGATTTCAGAGCATGTAGTCAGTGAACTACTGCTCTCAAGGGGTCTCCTGCCTTTTATACATTTTTATTGCAATGCAACTGAGATAACTTTGGTTTTGACTTCTGGCTCTTTCACTTAATGGCTGTAATTATAATTAAGCTTTTGTATTTTCTGTAAAGGGGATTAATAATGGTACTTACTTTAAAGGATTCTTGTGAATTAAATGAGATGATGCATGCAAAGCACTTAGTTTAAGACAGTATCCTATAGAAAATGTTAGCTATTAGCAATGCTATTTCAGGTTTTTGTTTGTTTGTTTGGTAGTGGGTAGTTGAACCCAGGGCCTCATACATGCTAGATGCTAGGAAAGCTCTCTATCACCAATCTAGCCACCCCCCTAACCCCACCCCCACCCCAACCCACCTTTTTTTGTTATTTTGTGACAGAGTCTCATCAAGTTGCTCAAGTTGGCCTTGAACTTGAGATCCTCCTGTCCCAGCTTGCTGAATAGTTGGGATTACAGGCATGCTAAATTTGAAAATCTTTTTTGACTGCCAAAATGTTCATCAGTCCACCATTTTCAATGACCTTGACCCAATTTAGAGCCATATTTCTTGATTACCTACTCACTGTTCACTGAATCCTCGTGAGCCACCGATGAAAACTAGCACTTTCCACAAAAATGGCACATATGCATTAACAGGAATTTTTGTGTATTGTTTAAGAAATTAAGGACTCGGGGCTGGGGATGTGGCTCAAGCGGTAGCGCGCTCGCCTGGCATGCGTGCGGCCTGGGATTGATCCTCAGCACCACATACAAACAAAGATGTTGTGTCCGCCGAAAACTAAAAAATAAATATTAAAAATTCTCTCTCTCTCTCTCTCTCTCCCTCCCTCCCTCCCTCCCTCTCTCACTCTATCTTTAAAAAAAAGAAAAAGAAATTAAGGACTCAATTAAAATTTGTTTTTTAATTTCTTGCCTCTCACACTTTGACTTTATATGCAGATCTTTGTTACATATAAAAATATTTTTAAATTGTTGAACATTGCTTTGTTCCTGTGTCTTTGTTAAGCCTTATTCTGTGAATAGATTAGGAACTCAATTGAGTAAGGTGACCTACCAGTTTTACATTTGGTATTCAGTATAGCATACTTAACATTTTTTTATTGGTTATTTTTAGTTATACATGATAGTAGAATCAATTTTGACATACTTCTAAAAGCATGGAATATATCTTGTTGTAATTTAGTCCCCAGTATCTTTCCTTCCTCTTCCCTTCCTCACTCCCCGCTCCCTTCATTCTATTTCTGCCATTTACCACAGTTATTTATTTTTTAAAAATTACTTTCTTGGGGCTGTAGCTGTAGCTCAGTGTTTTTTTTTTTTTTTTTTTTTTTTTTTTAAATTTTTTTTTTAATATTTTATTATTTTTTTTTTATTTCTCGGCGGACACAACATCTTTGTTTGTATGTGGTGCTGAGAATCGAACCCGGGCCGCACGCATGCCAGGCGAGCGCGCTACCGCTTGAGCCACATCCCCAGCCCCGTAGCTCAGTTTTAAAGTGCTTGCCTCGCATGTGTGAGGAACCTCAACACCACATAAAAATAAATGAATAAAGATATTATGTCTGTCTACAACCACAATATTTAAAAAATTAATTTCTTGTGGTCATACATGATGGTGAGATTCACTGTCATATTCCTATGTGTACATACATGTATGTACATAGGAAAGTCAGATTTAATCCACTGTTATTCCTTTTCCCATTCTCCCTCCCTTCCTTCATTCCCCTTTGTTACTCCACTGAAATTCTATCCCTGCACCCTTGGGTACTTATTTTTATTGATGATGAAATTCTGAAGTCTACTTTATTGTCTCTGGATCATTTAAAAACAATAAACTTATTTTAGAATGATTTTACTTTTACATATAAATTGCAAGGATATTATAGCCAGTTTCCCCTCTACATCATTTTAGTTTATCTGGGATATTTCATCATGTTTGAGAATGTATATGACATTTGAGTCTATTATGAAAGACAAAACAGTTACTGCCCTAAGGTGGTGATTGATTTCTATGAGGGAGAGATGATTGCCAGATAAGAAGGTAAGGGAATAATTTCTCTAAAGAAGTAGTATTTGAATGGGTTCATAGAGAGATGGTATTTGGCCTTATGGGAGCTAGGGAAAGAAAAGAGGTGCTAATTTAGGTGGCCTTGGCCTCTTTCATTCCCAATGGTTATTGCCATTCCAAAGGAAGCATGTTGTTTTGGCTGTAACAACTGTATTCTCTAAGACATTCTGTGACTTTTTGCTAAAGTATGTCATTGGGACTGCTATTTTAGTGGTTTTTTTTTTTTTTTTTTTGTACCAGGGATTGAATGAACCCAGTAATGCTTAAACACTGAGCCACATCCCCAGCCCTTTTGTATATTTTATTAAGAGATAGGATCTCACTAAGCTGCTTATAAGGGGCCTCACTAAATTTCTGAGACTGGTTTTGAACCTGTGATCCTCCTACCTCAACCTCCTGAGTTGCAGGGATTACAGTTGTATACCACTGTGCCCAGCTGACTACTAGCATTTCTAACCTTTTTGACCTTAGATTCTTTTCTTCACTGGATGTTCCCATCCTTTTACTCTAGTGCGCAGTGTGAACACTTCTTTTGCTTTTAGGACCTTATTATCTAGCATTGTAAGCAAGTAGCTGAGTTCCATGCTCACTGGATCTGTATTTGCCTCCTTTCCTGTCAGGTGTCGGAAATGGCTGTTTCTGAGCTACCTGGTAACCCCAATGCTGTCTGGACAGTACGTCGGCACATTGAAGGTAAGCATCCCTTTCTCAGTAGTCAAAATTAGGGCCTGGGAGGAACTGACATAGAAGACTTAAGAGACTTCATTTATAATATTTCTATATATAATCTCATTTAGAATCTTATACCAGAAACTTTTGACCCAATACCATATTTTTGAAGCTCTTTCAATCAGTTTGCCTTCATCTACTACTACTGTTTGTGCAAGTGGGTAAGGGGACGTAGGGCAGCTGTTGGTTTTAGTTATGTAAACATTTTAGTATCATAGTTTTCATGAGTTTTTTTTTTTTTTTTTAATAAAGGCATTGGTTCCATCTCTATAAGAGGTGTGAGTTGAGGAAAAGTTGTTGCTTATTAATTTTTCGTCAGCTGTGCTATCTTATTGTGCTGAAACCACAGTGAAATTCAAGGTGGTATTCTAGAAATTGAGATATTTGGGGAAGTTATTAGTTGGTTAGTTCTACTTGTGCTTAAGGAAAGCAAAGATTGGTTGATTAAAATCAGAACATTAGAGTGAGTGGAAAAGAAGGAATAGGGAAGGAGAGGAAGTTGAGTTCCTAGGTTAAAGTGGTTACCTCATCCTAAAACCTTAAAAGTAATGTGAAAATGCATGGAACTCCAGTAGCAGGGAAGTCTCATCACAACTGGATTTCAGCCCCACAGAAGTAGAACCCACTTATTTTTCCCTTTGGTTCACTTTGGAGCTCTGGGTCATTTCTGTTCTGAGACCTCATTTTCCTCTTTTCCCTCAGGAATGTGGGGCTGGTGAGTAAGATCACCCTGGCCAGCAGACAGAGCTTTTTCTAGAAAACAGCTGTAATTCTGCTTCAAGTTAGATGTTCTAGTTGTATGGAATAAGTTTAAGAGAGCTGGGAAATGTGTAGGAGGTAAATCTCTTTCTGTTAGATTACTGCACACTTTTGTAGATTTTGTTTTCATTATATCTGTTGGAATCACGTTGAGTTGAAAGGGGAAATAAAAGATGGGGGGATTCTAGGCCCATTTTAGCTGGGAAAATAATTACTGGATAATTGTTTTTAAAAGATTTCTGTGTTTTATAGATGTTTATATGAAGAAGTTGGTTGGTATTGATGTCCCTTTGTTTGGTGGCTTGTTGATATCATGGCTCTTTAAAATTGTCTAGACTCTTTGAATTAGAAAGATACTTTTAGATAACCTAGTATGCCCCTTCATATTTTCCTTAAACTTTTTGGATGAATTTTTAAACCAGATTTAGGTTTATAGAAAAGTTACTTCTCATTTTATGAAGGAGACAGAAAGTCCCAAGGGTTAACTCTCAAGATAACAAGTAATAGGAGCAGAAATGGGTCCTGAATTCTAGACCAGTTCTCATTTTGATCAACACTGGTGGGAGTATATGGATGGTGATGATGATGATTTTGGTACTAGGGATTGAATTCAGGGGCACTCAGCCACTGGGCCACATCCCCAGCCCTATTTTGTGTTTTATTTAGAGACAGGGTCTCACTGAGTTGCTTAGTGCCTCGTCATTGCTGAGGCTGGCTTTGAATCCAGGTCCTCCAGTCTCAGCCTCCTGAGCCGCTGGGATTACAGGCATGCGCCTCCACACCCTGCCGAGTATGTGGATCTTGCTAGTTCTTTTAGGATAAGTTCTGTAGTTTTATCCTATGGTCATTTAAGATCCTATAATTCCTGCCTCAAAGGACTTTCTGTCTACAACTGACAATGAAGGAGCTGGGGTAGCTCAGTGGTAGCATCTGCAATACCCTAGGTTCAATATCCAGCACTACAAAAAATAAAATATAAAAGAAAACAAGTAAGCAAAACCATTGTATGCTTTGATTTATGATAGGCACAGCGGTGTTGCCAGAAGGGGTTAGAGGAGAGGGAATGGTTGTGTGTTTGAGATTATGAAAAGTTTGTGAAGAGAAAACATTTGCTAAGTTAGTGATAAGTAGTATATTGTATGATGGAACTTGAATTTCCTCTTCTATTAAATCTCAAAGCCCTGGGAAAGACTATTTTCTGCTAAATTTTGCTCTTTAGATACTATAATTTGGATAATCACCCACAGAAATAGGTCAGGTTCTCTTTCTTCATTTTCTTTCCAGATATCCCAACTTACTATTGAGCATTCCTCTGTCCACACATGCTGCAGTCTTCAGGCAAATACTAACCTTGGCTGGTACTTGGTGATGCATACTACCAATACCAAGCCTTTTTTTCTCTTCCACAGGTGGCTGGTGAAGGTGCTGATCACCACAGGTGTGTACCTACTGCTAGGGTCTACTCTGGGGCCTTATAGTTTAACTAGGGAGAGGGACCTGCATAAAATATTGAGGCTGCCCTAATGATGTCTCTCAGTGTAACTTTGCAGTTGGGTGTTGATGTGCATTATAATGATGTACACCCATTTGCTTGTGTATCAGCTGGTTTGAGGCAGGAATCAATTTCTTCACTTCCCCCCACAGATTTTGGAAAACTTAACTAATTTGTCATTTGGTAAACTGACTAAGGCTGTAGCTAGCAAATTGTAGCTTCACACTCTGTCTTGGAGTTGACCATTTCAGATGTACACTGAAAAATTAGGATCTGGAGAGTATATTCAGGACTGTGCTAAGACAAGATAAATACCAGGTACTTTGAGTATAGTGAAATTGAAATCATCTGGATGGCTCTCTCTTTATCCTTGAGAGTGAACTGCTTGTCAACCTTTAAATCCTTAAGGCAAGGGAGTAGAATGAAGCATTTCCTTCTGTAGGATGTTTCAGCAGTATTAAGATAGAAGTCCTACTGAACTGAGACCTAAAGACATGTTTTCATATCCTAGGACATTCTTCACTGAGATATGAAATAACGTTCTTCATGAAATTTGAAACCCCTAGAAAAAGGCAACGTGGATATTTATAGTTTCTAAGTCATTTAACTTATAATTAAAAGGTTGGCTTTGTAATCTCCCTAGGACATAAAAGAGTATCTGCTATGCTGCAGGTCTTTCTAAGCTGGAGATTGGAAAGGGTAGGAGTAACAGTGTACTTGGTATTCACAGGATAATAGATATTTTGAGGAAATTTGTGATGAAAAGCATCTTTTAGACATCTAGTCATTGCTTTTCTATCTGAACTGTCAAGCCAAAGTATGACCCTGTTTAAATTGACTGAGCATCTTCTTAAGTCCGAGCAATCTGGTACTTTGGTTAGAGGTAAAAGTACAAACCCAGGCATGCCTTCTCCTCCTTACCTCCCATTCTTTTGCATGTGAGTCAAAAGTTGTATGGTCTAGCTTCTGGAATCCTATTTTTTCCCCTTTGTTCAAGCAAAAGACTGCAAATTATTGCCTGTTAGAGCCCCCTGTTGTTGGCTTTAATTTCCTCTGACATAGCTTTTAAGATATTATGTTTTAGTAATTACATGACAGAAATTTTCAGTCAAAACTAAGAGCTGTATTAAAATTTCCAAGCTTAGAGTCATGTGGAGATTGGTTTGGTTTTGTTGAAAACAATTAAGACCTCTACTTCAGGAACACCTCTAACCTTTTTCGTTTTATGATCATGAATAGTGCCTAGTCTTTTAAAACTGTTTTATAAGATGTTCCCAAAGCTTTTGATATATGTTGATAATAATATCAAAATAACCAAAAACCAAGTATCAGCTGTGTGCAGTGGCACACACCTATAATCCCAGCTACTTGGGAGACTGATGCAAGAGGGTTGCAAGTTTGAAGACAGCCTGGGCAACTTATTGAGACCCTGACTCAAAATTTAAAAAAAAAAAAATTATATAAGTTTTTAAAAAATATTATTTATTTATTTTTAGTTGTCAATGAGGCTTTCATTTTATTATTTATTAATTTATCTATATGTGGTAAACACTCTACCACTGAGCTACAACCTAGCTCCTCAAAATAAAATTTTAAATAGGGGGTGGCATTGTAGTTGAGTGGTAGAGCACTTGCCTAGCATGTATGAGAAATATAAATTTTTCCCATACTGGGGTTCAATCCCCAGTATGGGGAAAAACAAAACAACAACAACAAAAAAACCAAGTGACTTCTTCACTAGTATTCATGATTTGGAAATTGAGCCTGTACCCTGTGGATTCTTGGTCTAGGCAGTAAAACATGCATTGGGAAGGGTTTTTGATCCCTGGTTTTTAGCTACTATAGTACACATACTGTTATTAGCTGAAACAGAAGTTTTGCCAAAAAGTACTTGCCCTTACAATGTGAAGCAGCCTCAAAATTATTTCTGTTATAATGTGGTGTTTGCCAGCCCCTAGATTGATTTTATGTCCTGCTAATAGGTCAGAACACTACTGTGGGCTATATAAATGATGTATCTTTACCTGACCCCTCCTATAAAGAATGCTGATTCTGCTGAACTAATCTAGTAACTTTAGTTTATCTGGAACTCAACTTAGAGCAGTCAAAACCAAAAATGTGTTATGGAATCAGCCAGCCCAATGGTACTGAGTTCTTACAATACTCAGGCAAACAAGGTCCCATAGCTGCCATTCTTAAGAGTGAGATAGCCAGTCCGATTTAGTCCCTTGTCTTGTTCTGTCCTTTGTTCATCTGATTGCTAATCTCAACTCTTCTTTTAAAAAAAGATGTGCCTTTATTCAACATTTATGAAGTTTTATGCCACAAACATTGTTGGATGTGGGAGACACAGAAGCTGTTTTATGTTGTAATATGGGAAATAGATGGCCTTTAACTATGGAATCTGCAGAGGAAACTTTTGGGGTTGCCTGTATACTTCAGGTCTCTGACCTCCTTGAGAATCTCATTAGTGTTTGTTTATCCAACTACATTTCATTTTGAAAAACAAACCCTAATAGGATTGGTCATGATCACTGGGTTGTATTTTTAAATAGTGAAAAACCAGAGGGGTCAAAGAATGATAATATAAACATATCCCCTCCCCCATTTCCTGGTTATTTGGTGTTCTTACATCATTCCCAATGGGACTAGGACTCTCTCAATTTCCAGTGCTAGAATAACTTAATCACATGGAGGTTTAGTAATCTGTTTCATTCATTAGAGCTTATATTCCTACATTAGCTGCTTCTGGGAAAAGTTAGGGATCTTTCCTAGTTTTAAGGAATATTTCTTCTAGCTATTGGCAACTGTCAAAACATGCTGTAGCTCGACATATATAGTACTAGTAGTAAAGATTTCTTCATGCCTTTGATTCCCTTACATTGTCCTCTCTCATTTCTCTAGAAAATGTCTCAGAGTATTAATTTTCAAAGATGCTGAGGAAAATATTTGTATTCAACGCATTGAGGCATTTATATGTAGCCTCTATGGTGCTCAGTTATCTTTTGGATCATTTTGTGCTTTGTGTCTATGCTGACCATACATAGAAATGCCTTGGAAGAATTCTTAAAACTCTTATGTGTCATTTGACTTTTTAATTCTGAGGAGTTCTTAGCTGACCAACTCCTTTCTTTCTTTTTCCAGATGAGTTTGATGCCTACATCATTGTGTCTTTCGTGAATGCCACCCTTGTACTGTCTATTGGAGAGACTGTAGAAGAAGTGACTGACTCTGGGTTCCTGGGTACCACCCCAACCTTGTCCTGCTCCTTGTTAGGAGATGATGCCTTGGTACAGGTGAGAATTCTCAGAGCTTACTTGCTTAGCTTGTTTTCTCATTTCTTTGCCTTTGTTGTGCTATATAGGCAGCTGCATTCAGGTCTCTCTCCACCGAAAGCCTTAGGGAGGGGCTTGCTATTTTATCAAAATATAGAACTACACCAAGAATTGGATTTTTCAGATTTTTACCAACTTAACTATTCATTTAGAGAATTTTGAAACATAATATTCCTCTTTGCCATTTCTATAGTTGCTTCAGAGCTCCATCTCTATAAAGTTTTCATTTATTTTTTTCACGCGAATCCAGGGGTACTCTGCCATTGAGCTACATCCCCAACCATCTCCCCACTACTTTTTTTTTTTTTTTTTTTTTTTTGAGACAGTCTCACTGATTTGCTGAGACTGCCTTGAATTTGCGGTCTTATCTCAGGCTCCCAAGTTAGTGAGATTACAGGCATGCCCCACTTTTCCCAGCTATTAAAGATTTTAATACTTATTTTGTTGATAAGTTTTGAACTTCTTCAAAGTGGACATTGCAAAACATAAACTTTAAAAAGTTATCCTTCTCTGGACTTACCAACTCCAGTTGGTGCCTCAAATGCAGTGGCTCTAGATCTACCAGGGATGACAGATCTGACAGGTCTAGGGATCATTCTGAGTGATGAGTCAAATCACTAAGGTCAGGTTTCCTTCCTTTCCTGACTCCAGGTTTATCCAGATGGTATTCGGCACATTCGAGCAGATAAGAGAGTCAATGAATGGAAGACCCCTGGAAAGAAAACAATTGTGAAGTGTGCAGTGAACCAGCGACAAGTGGTGATTGCCCTGACAGGAGGAGAGCTGGTCTATTTTGAGATGGATCCCGTATGTTATTTTACAATTAATGTGGGACTTAGTATATGGTCCAGAGGTAAAGTGGAGAATTGTCATCCAGGCATCTAGAGTGCATTCACAACAAAGACAATGAGGGAATGTAATTGTCCACAAACCAATCTTGCCCTTTCTAAGGGAGAAAAAAGGAGGAAATTGATGTTTGATTCTATTGGAGTTGGAAGATTACCTCCTAGGAGTAAAACACTTGATCCCTCTGCATTTTACACCTACTTTTCCAACAAATATTTGGCAGAGCTTTGTTTTCTACCATCTTAATCCATTAGGGAAATTTTCTTTTCCTCTTCTGTATGGAAGTCTGGCAATACTAAACTATCTTGCTCTTAAGGAGTTTCTAGTGTGGTTGAGATTTCTATTTATTTATTTATTTAGTGGTGCTGGGATCGAACCCAGGGCCTTGTGTGTGGCAAGCACTCTGTCAACTGAGCTATATCCCCACCCTGAGATTTTTTTGTTTTTAATCATCATATTTGAATTCCCTTTCTCCCAAAGTATTTTCATGAACAGCTTAAACATTTTTATTTCTGTTTCCTGAGGACTGTGGTGGCACATTAAGTTTGTTAAAGTTCTCGTTTCTTTTCTTACTCAGACACATTAATTTTGCTTGCTGTTAGCTTGTTAAATATTGTCTTGGGTTCTTAGGTTGAGAAATTGTTGGTCACTGAATATATAAGGGGAGTGGGAAGAGCCAGAAAGAAACCTAACACCTGTCTTCCTTCCCTGGATGAGGATTTTGGTGTGAATTGGAGCATCTAGACACATCTTCTGAACACACTATGTTTTCCCTTATGTAGTCGGGACAGCTGAATGAGTACACTGAACGGAAGGAGATGTCAGCAGATGTGGTGTGCATGAGTCTGGCTAATGTGCCCCCTGGAGAGCAGCGTTCTCGCTTCCTGGCTGTGGGACTGGTGGACAATACTGTCAGAATCATCTCCCTGGACCCCTCAGTGAGTGACACCCTCAATTTCAAGGATCTTCTGGTTGGAATCTGAACACCTGGGTCCTAAAATCTATATTTGCTGCTACTCTTTTTTTGGGGGGTGGGGGTGTATGTGGTGCTGGGGATTGAACCCAGGGCCTCATGCATGCTAGGCAAGCTCTGTACCACTGAACTATACCCCTAGCCCTGTACCTGCTGCTTCTCTTGATTATCATAGCAGCATACTTTAGGAGTCTTGTGCTGTGGTTGAGAATGTTGATCTGAAACTACTGAATGTTTCTTTTAGCTAATCCTTGAGTCTCTTTTGTACTAAAAACCCCAAACCCCAAGACTATATATGGAAGGAATTTTACTTGCTTCCAGGCCTTAGGTAACTTTCAGAGAGGTACCCATTACTTATTTGCTCTTACATTTTCTGTTTTGATAAAAGGAGAAAAACAATATTTTTCAGAACTTAATTCTGAGATTTAGTTAAAATTAACAATGCACTATCCTCTCATTCCTGGAGTTTTCTCTGCCCACAAGAAGGTTCTTCCTGCAATGCTAGCATTAGATTTTTCTGAATGTTTTTTTCCAAATTGGTCATTTCCTGTTTTGAATGATTTTTCTGTCCTCCCTACCTCCAACCCCAGGACTGTTTGCAACCTCTGAGCATGCAAGCTCTCCCAGCTCAGCCTGAGTCCTTGTGTATTGTGGAAATGGGTGGGACCGAGAAGCAGGACGAACTGGGTGAGAGGGGCTCTATTGGCTTCCTCTACCTAAACATTGGACTGCAGGTAAGAGATCCAGAGGTTGACGTTGTTGTTGTCAGGACTTATGTAGGTTTTACACACTCCTTTGTCCAATAAAGGCATTTTTGTGCCCAGAATTTCAGATGCCAACTTATGAGAAATGAACAATGTTCTGGGCTCTACTTTTCTCAGCACTTTGATTAGAACATATCAGCTCTGGAAAAAAGTATTTTTACATTTGATAAAAACACCTTGCTTTCCCTGTTCTGGGTCAGAACTGGCTAATGTGCTCCCTGGAGAGCAGCAGTCTCGCTTCCTGGCTGTGGGACTGGTGGACAATACTGTCAGAATCATCTCCCTGGACCCCTCAGTGAGTGACACACTCAATTTCAAGGATCTTCTGGTTGGAATCTGAACACCTGGCCCCTAAAATCTACATTTGCTGCTTCTCTCTCTTTTTTTTTTTTTTTTTGATGTGTGTGTGTGTGTGTGTTGCTAGGGATTGAACCCAGGCCTCATGCATGCTAGGCAAGCTCTGTACCACTGAACTATACCCCCAGCCCTGTACTTACTGCTTCTCTTGATTATTATAGCAGCATACTTCAGGGGGGGATCTTTGAGTCACATGCAGTCCCCACAATATTCAGCTTTTTGAAATCAATACCTTAGAGTTCCTAATTGACTTCTCTCGCGATAAAGGATCCCTACATGTTCCTTGTTCTCAAAGGATCTGAGCTCTTCATGTCATATTAAAAGTAGGAACCTAAGGATACGAGAGTGTTGGGGCTCTTGATTATGTACTTTTTATTTTCCTTGACTATTATTTACATGAACACATTAATTAATTTAACCTAGATATTTTTGCTTTTTTTTTTTTTTTTTTTTTTTTAATAGCAGAGATTGAACTCGGGCACTGAGCCACATCCCCAACCCTATTTTGTATTTTATTTAGAGACAGGATTTCTCTGAGTTGCTTAGCACCTCGCTTTTGCTGAGGCTGGCCTCGAGGTTGCAGTCATCCTGCCTTGGCCTCCCGAGCCGCTTAGATTACAGGTTTACACCACTGCACAGAGCATATTTTTGCTTTTTTTTTTTTTTTTTGTATTTTTTAGTGGTAGTTGGACACAATACCTTTATTTTATTTATTTACATATGGTGCTAAGGCTTGAACCCCTAGGTCCTTGCATGTGCTAGGTGAGTACTCTACGCTCAGCCCCAGCCCGTATTTTTGCTTTTTCAATTTACTTAAAAAAAAAAAAATTTAAGCTATTGTTGGACACAGTACCTTTATTTTATTTAATTTGTGGTGCTGAGGATGGAACCCAGTATCTCACACATGCTAGGCGAGCACTGTATCGATGAGCCACAATCCCAGCCCCTTAAATTTACTTTTTTTTTTTTTTAGAAGTTTTCAAGCATAAACAGAACTTAAGACTAGTGTAATACGCCTCCTTTCCCTCTTTTTCCTGGAGTATTTTAAAACAAATCCAAGATAATGAGTCATTTTTCATTTTCAAATACTTGATGAAAGTACCTTTAACAGATGTTTTCTTAAAGCACTAATATTCTCACACCCAGCAAAAATCTTGTATTCCTTACTATCATGTGATACTTTGTCTCTGTTATAGTTTTTGCCATAAAAGAGTGGCCATATAATTGGATCTACTCAAGATTTCAATAGAACAGTTCATAATTTGCATTTGCTTTCTGTCTTTTTTTTTTTCCAGTACCTGGGATTACATCAAGGGGCACTTTGCCACTGAACCACAACCCTAGCACCTCCACCTTTTAAAATTTTTTGTTTTGAGAGGGTCCCACTAAGTTGTTAGGGCTGTGCTAAATTGCTGAGGCTGGCTTTGAACTCATGATCCTCCTACCTCAGCCTCCCAAGTTTCTGGGATTACAGACATGCCACCACACCCAGCTGTTTCCTGTCTTTTAACGTCTCATAATAACTGTCCCACCCCCATTCTTTTTTTTAAGAGACCAGATAATATTTCTTGTAGAATTTACTTTTTTTTTTTTTTAACCTTTATTTTTATGTGGTGCTAAGGATTGAACCCAGTGCCAAGCCACAACCCCGACCCCTGAACTAAGTCTTTTGAAATCTGGTATTTGATACTTTTTTTTTTTTTTTTTTTTTGTATTGGGGATTTAATTTAGAGGTAATGGCAGTTAACCAGTAAGCCACATCTCCAGTCCTTTTTGTTTGTTTGTTTGTTTTTGTTTTTGTTTTTGTGGTGCTAGGGATTGAACCCATGGCCTTGTGCATGGGAGGCAAGCACTCTGGTATTTGATACTTTAAACTTAACAGCGTATATCAGTTCTGACTAGCCACACTTTTGATGTTTAATGGCTGTAGGACTGGCTAGTACAGATAACAATATTTGTTTAATTCAGATTTAATTTGAGGTGATAAGAATAGTTCAGCAATGGTGCTATTTATTTCCTATTGCATCACATTAGATACAGGAATATCTAGTTGTCCCAATTCTATTGATGTTGAAATGTTTGTATTATGTTTTAAAGCTTCCCTTTAGCTTTTAAACTTAATAGTTATTGATACATATTGCCTATATTGATTATTTCGTTGGGGGGTTGGAAAATGATTTTCTAATTTCTTTCTGTATTTAATTGGATGGAATTCTTCTCTAAAGACAAAATGAGATTCATTTGCTTATCCTAAATGTAGTCTATGCAGGAAAAGATCAGTACTTTATTTTTTCTCTTTGTTCATTTGTATCCAGAGTTAAGGAGTTAGGGCCATAACAGTCTGTCTCCAGAGGGGACTGATGAAGTGGGTATTCTGGTTTTTCCTTTTTAAAGTAACGTGATTTTGTATATTTGTATATATTTGTATATTTGTATATTTGTTCTTCAAACTATGCTATCGTTTTGTTGTTAAATTGTCTAATTTTAGACAACTGGAAGTTCCCCTTTGAAGTTTTTTCCTTTGTTCTTTTAACACGACCCCACTGTTTTGCCTTCTTGCACAATAAGATGTCCCACACGCATCTGGAACATTCTTGCCCCAGTCTTGAATCAGTCATTTCTTTTAGGAACCTTGTTCATTTTAGAGAAAATGGTGTATAAAGACCATACTCCGTGGGCCTGGGATTTTTAAACTCTGGATCTATTTTAAAATTATAAAAGAGATTTTAACATTCACGATTTAAAAAAAAAAAAGTACAGGGTATATAGTGAAGAATAAGTATATTTTTCATTTAGTAGATTTTATTTGAATGAGTGATTTATTGAAAGAATAATGAATGACTGATGCTTAGGTTTGTTTTTTTTTTTTTTAAACCACTAAGCCATTTTCCTTTTGTCTGCTCTGAAAGTAGCTAAGAGGGAGATTTCCTCATCATATCTGATAAGCTTGCATTGTAAGTAGGCTCACCCACTCCTTCTTTTGATTAGAACGGTGTGCTGCTGAGAACTGTCCTAGACCCTGTCACTGGAGACCTGTCTGATACTCGCACTAGGTACCTGGGGTCCCGTCCTGTGAAACTCTTCCGAGTCCGGATGCAAGGCCAGGAGGCAGTAAGTAATAAAGTGGGGCAGGCAGCATATACAGATGTTATTAGTGACACCAGCTGAAAAAAAAATCCCTCTTTCACTAATTCACCAGTATATAATTGATATGATATCAATTCTATCTTGATTAGATGTAAAAATTGATGTAAAAATTCTTGGGACCCTTAACCTAGAACTTCCTAACAGGGATTCCATGGCACTATGGCATCTGGTTTTAGGGAAATTGGAATATTGATCCCTTTTGCCCTTGGCTGGGGATAGTTGGAAACCTCCCACCCATGTCACCATTAGCCATGAATTGTCTAATTTACCCCAGGCTCATAGTAGCATGATTTACTACCTAATGTTAAAGAGATTGGAAAATGTATCCTTTGTAGTTAAGAGTAGTAGTTTGCTGAAGCTCTGCCAGTTCTTTTTTTTTTTTTTTTTTAAGAGAGAGAATTTTTTAATATTTATTTTTGACTTTTCGGCAGACACAACATCTTCGTTTGTATGTGGTGCTGAGGATCGAACCCAGGCCGCACACATGCCAAGCGAGCGCGCTACCGCTTGAGCCACATCCCCAGCCCGCTCTGCCAGTTCTTAAATGTTATCTCATTTTATTCTTACAGCTGGGGCTGGGGATGTAGCTCAGTGGAAGAGTGCTTGCCTTGCATGGATGAGGCTCTGGGTTCAATCCCAACACTGTTAAGAATTACTTTTTTTTTTTTTAAACTATAATAGTATTCCTATTCCTATGAAAACAGGCTCAGTGAGATGTAGTAATAATTAGCTTAGGTCATGCAGCTGGTAGCCCATGGATTTATCATATAGCATCATTTCTACTTCCTTTTTAAAAAATTTCCTTTTAGGTCTCAATATTCTGTGGGCTGAAATTTAGGTTAGGATATTTGGTCAGCCTACCATGTGTGAATTTTTCCCAAGCTCAATGAAAATGTTTTTCTCTCCTCAGGTATTGGCCATGTCAAGCCGCTCTTGGTTAAGCTATTCTTACCAGTCTCGCTTTCATCTCACTCCCCTGTCTTATGAGACCCTGGAATTTGCATCTGGTTTTGCCTCTGAACAGTGTCCTGAGGGCATTGTGGCCATCTCCACCAATACCCTGAGGTGAGTGCATTCCAGGTTTGGAGGCCAGCAGAAAGCATTTTTTTTGTTGTTGTTGTTTTAAATATTTTTAATTGTAGATGGACCCAATACTTTTATTTATTTATTTATTTTTATGTGGTGCTGAGGATTGAACACAGTGTCTCACATGTGCTAGGCGATTGCTGTACCACTGGTTTATAGCCCCAGCCTAGCAGAAAGCCTTTTTGCTGGTGTTGGAGGAAGTTGTGAAGAGATGGCAGAGAGCCAGCTCTTCACCGTGAGACTAGTGTGTTGCAAGTGAAACCTTCTTTTGGCTCAGAATTTAAGTACCTGGAAGCCAAGTGTCAATGTTGGGAGTTTTAGCTTCTGTTTAAACTTTCAGGGCCAAGTTATAATACTTAGCGCTACTGTCCAGTCTTCAGATTAAGATTTTTGTTTTCCAGCAAAAGGGACAGGCAATGCCATTGGATTAGTTTATTTTTTTTAGACTTTCTTTCTTTATTTATTTCTTCTTTCTTTGTTTTTATGTGGTGCTGAGGATCGAACCCAATGTCTCACATGCTTGGGAAACACTCTACCACTAAGCCACAACCCCAGCAGGGTCCGATTATTGTTAACTATTTTGGACTCTTGTCATTTGCAGTATTATATCTGAAAGTTTGAACTCAGTGTAAGTTATTTAGGCCTTTTGCAAGCAATTTGGAAGCTATTGTTCTTACAGCATTGACTTTTTTTTAGTTGTAGATAGACACAATACCTTTATTTTGTTTATTAAGTTTGTTTTGTTTTTTAGTGTGCTAGGATCGAACCCAGTGCCTCAGGGGTGTTAGGCAAGCACTCTACCAATGAGCTACAACCGCAGCCCAACAGCATTGACTTTTAAGAGTCAAATATATTCTATTCTTATTAAGATAGAAAATAACCTGGTCAATTTGACTTTCTCAGGGTTTTTAATTTTTAATTTTTATTTTTTTAAGCTTTTTTTCCCCCCTGGGAACTCAGGGACTCTGTACCACAGAGCTACATTTCTAGCTCTTTATATTTTTATTTTAAGACAAGGTCTTGCCAAGTTGCTGAGGTTGTGATTCTCCTGCTTTGGCTTCCTCCGTACCTGGGATTACAAATGTGTACCACTGCACCCAGCTATAAGTTTTTAAGACATTGAAGTTGTTCATGTCCTGATTATTACTCTTGGTTGTTCACAATGAAACTAGTGTAGCCCTCTTGATTAAAAAAAAAAGATAAAACTGTTACTCTTTAAGTGAACTTGCTCTTTTGCAACAGCTTTTAGTATTTATTCATAGCTATTGTCTTATCTTTTGGCATTTTTATATACCTTTTCCAGCAGACTTAATCTTCCTGCATTCCTTATTATTATTTGTTTATTTTAAATCTCTGCACTTGCACTTGGAATACTTCTCCTTTATGTCTCTGCCTGTCATGGTTCCACCTGGGTCTCATATGTAGTCCCTAACTCCTGAATTGCCCTAGATTTAGATAATCTCCAGACTTTCTCCTAACAGGAACTTCGCCCCCCACCCCCCCACTTCCCTTAACTTCTTTAAGAGAAGGCCACTGCTATAAACATTGACATGAATTTTTGTGTGGACATAGGTTTTTTATTTTTCTCTGAAATGCAAAAGTGGAATTGGTAGGTAATATGAAAACTCTTTTAAAAACTTTTTGAGGAACTGCCAAATGGCTTTTCAAAGTGGCTGAACTATTTTACATTTCTACTAGCCAAGGTATGAGGGTTCCAATTTCTCCATATTCTTGCAAACACACACTTGCATTATGACTTTTGAGTCTAGCCATCTTGCTGAGTGTGAAGTGTATCATGATTTATATTTGTATGTTTCTGATGACTAATAGCAAGCATATTTTCATGTTTTTTGGCTATTTTTCTTAATGTCTATTCACGTCTATTGGCCATTTTTTAAATTGGGTTGTTGTCCTTTTATAAGTTCTAGTCTGTAATTGGTTGGCCCCATTGATTTGGGCTTGTGGTGAGGCAGCATATTGTTGTGGAATCATGTGGCAGAGCAAAACTGCTTACATTGTAAGCCTGGAAGGAAAAAGAGCAAGGAGGAGTCCAGGGTCTCATAATCCCCTTCTGGTTCACAACCTAGTGACCTAAAGATCTCCTACCAGGTTCCACCTCCTAAAGATTCTACCACTTCCCAAAAGCACCACCCTAGAACCAGGCTTTTATCATATGAGCCTTTGGGGGACATTCAACATCCAAACCAAAGCAAATTGTGAGTTCTTATATATTTTAGATATAAGACTCCTATCAAATACATGTTTTGAGTGTTTTTTCCTATTCTCTGGAGTTTTCTTTCATTTTCTTGATGGTGTCCTTTGTAACACTGAAGGCTAATTATTTTTTAAATAATTGTTTAAAAGTGTATCTGAAAACTACCCAAAGTATTGATTATCACCAATAGCTCATGCCTCCTCTTAGACAAATGCTGGGTAACTTTGTATTTTCCAAGAAGCAATATAGCATGACAACATCTGTGGACTAGTTTTGTATGTGTCTTTTTTTTTTTTTTTTTTTAAAGAGAGAGAGAGAATTTTTTTAATATTTATTTTTTTAGTTATTGGTGGACACGACATCTTTGGTTGTATGTGGTGCTGAGGATCGAACCCATGCCGCATGCATGCCAGGCGAGCGCGCTACCGCTTGAGCCACATCCCCAGCCCTGTATGTGTCTTTTTGAGGACAGGTTTCCTTTCTGCTTAGAGTCTGTGCTCTATAGGCCTTGTAGTTGTGAGTTAGATCACAGGAAAATGAGAACAATGGGATCAAAAATTGTGATTTTTTTTTTTTTCTTTATGGCATACTTAATTTTTTTCTTGATAGAATGATAATTTTTGATATTTAGATGGTTCATTTTATAATTAGGTATTTGTGAAATACTTGAATTTGTTTCTCCACAAATAAAGGAACATGGTAATTACTACTCAGAGAACTTGGGTGTGCACAGAGTGGAAATACCATCAATATTAATGTGAATAAGAAAATGTTTTTATTTTGTTTTATGTTCTGTGCTTCTGGGTTGGCTGTCTTAGCACTTTGGGAGTTTCCTGCTATCTTCCATTGTTGGATTTTAGGACTATGGTCAGACCGGATGTGGTATGTTGTTATTGTTTTTTGATGTTTTCTGTAGTTCTTAGGGACTTTATCTAGATTGGCTTATATTTTTTCTCTGTTGGTTTTGTTTTGTTTTACCTGAAAAGTTTTAATTTTCTCATTTCTGTTCTTTTGGAATTCGGATTAGATGTTTGAAGTCTTCTCATTCTGTCCTTCTTTGTCTTTCAGGCCCCATCCCCTTTCATATTCTATCTCTGATTCTGCTGCATTCTGGATAATTCTTCAATTATATGACCAGATCCTGCTTGATACTGGCTCTTCCTCAGAGTTTTGGAGGATTTATTTGGGGGTGGGTGTCTGTGTATGTATGTGTGTATTTCTGTTTACATGTAAAACATAATCTCTTGTTTTTATTAGGCTGGCCTTGAACTTTGTCTGTCTCAGCCTCCTGAACCTCTGGGATTACAGGCATGCGTGTGTCACCATATCTAGCCAAAAATAAAAAGTCTTTTGGCCTTTGATTTTTAGTTACCGTTTGATTTCTGGTGTACTGGTGACTGATTGAGATGTGAATTCCCTAGAGGCAAGTCTTATAATTTGTTCATCACATCATCCAGTGGTCTGTAGCTTATAGTCATGGCCACACAGGATAGTCCCAGTGTATATGTGAGGGTGGGGACTGAGGGAGAGGGTATATAATCGAATGGGTAATTGAGTTTAGAAAGAATGCCAGTTATAGAGTACCCATTCTCATTTCTATTAAAACCTTTTACAAAAGGTATATAACTTTTAAACACTGCTTACCTTCTTGAGAATTAGCAGTTCTATACATCGTTGAATTACCCTAAGTACATAGATAGCAATACCATTATTTTTAGCCCTCATAGAGAGATTCAGTGAAGAAATGGAAAGAAAGGGATTTGAGTGAGGTTTTAGATGACTCTGAAGGCCTTAGCTTGGAGGGGAGGTATTGTTAGTTTTTGTTTCTGGTGTGTGTGTGTTTCTGGAGATTAAACCCAGGGGTGCTCTATCTCTGAGCTACATTCCCAGCCCTATTTATTTATTTATTCACAATATTTCCAGAGCCTAACACATGCTAGGCAAGTGTTCTATCACTGAGCTCCATCGCCAGCCCCCCTTCAATTTTATATTGAGACTGAATCTTAAGTTAGTTACCCAGGCTGGCCTTTAACATGTGATCCTTCTTCCTCAGCCTCAGCTGGAATTACTGGCAAGTGCCACTGTCCCCAGCTTCATCATTTGAAAAATGGATGTCTTCTTTCCAAGCATGTCGTTAGTTAGTCCTCTCCTCTCAGGTGACTGTATTACTGGTTCTTGTGTGTTGTCTTCATACCGGAGTTTTAAGCATATGCTAATGAATATGTGTATGTGTTCTTTTTTTCTCTTGCTTTCGTAGAGAGCTTACTACATCCACTATTCACACCACGTTTTTCCTCATTTTATAGTACATCTTGGAAATCAATGTAAATATTATATGACTTCCATATTGTTTTATTGCTAGAGTGTAATATCATTCTTAGAAGTGGAGTTACTGGATCAAAGGTTATGTTCACTTGACATTTTTATTTATTTATTTATTTATTTTAAGAGAGGGAGGGAGAGAATGAATTTTTTTTTAAATTTTTTATTGTTGGTTGTTCAAAACATTACATAGTTTTTGATATATCATATTTCACACTTTGATTCAAGTGGGTTATGAACTCCCATTTTTACCCCGTATACAAATTGCAGAATCACATCAGTTACACATCCATTGATTTACATATTGCCATACTAGTGTCTGTTGTATTCTGCTGCCTTTCCTATCCTCTACTATCCCCCCTCCCCTCCCCTCCCCTCCCCTCTTCTCTCTCTACCCCCTCTACTGTCATTCATTTCTCCCCCTTGTATTATTTTCCCCTTTCCCCTCACTTCCTCTTGTATGAAATTTTGTATAACCCTGAGGGTCTCCTTCCATTTCCATGCAATTTCCCTTCTCTCTCCCTTTCCCTCCCACCTCTCATCCCAGTTTAATGTTAATTTTCTTCTCATGCTCTTCGTCCCTACTCTGTTCTTAGTTACTCTCCTTATATCAAAGAAGACATTTGGCATTTGTTTTTTAGTGATTGGCTAGCTTCACTTAGCATAATCTGCTCTAATGCCATCCATTTCCCTGCAAATTCTATGATTTTGTCATTTTTTAATGCAGAGTAATACTCCATTGTGTATAAATGCCACATTTTTTTAATCCATTCATCTATTGAAGGGCATCTAGGTTGGTTCCACAGTCTTGCTATTGTGAATTGTGCTGCTATGAACATCGATGTAGAAGGGGAATAGCTGGGTCAAATGGTGGTTCCATTCCCAGCTTTCCAAGAAATCTCCATACTGCTTTCCAAATTGGCTGCACCAATTTGCAGTCCCACCAGCAATGTACAAGTGTACCCTTTTCCCCACATCCTCGACAGCACTTGTTGTTTGACTTCATAATGGCTGCCAATCTTACTGGAGTGAGATGGTATCTTAGGGTGGTTTTGATTTGCATTTCTCTGACTGCTAGAGATGGTGAGCATTTTTTCATGTACTTGTTGATTGATTGTATGTCCCCCTCTGAGAAGTGTCTGTTCAGGTCCTTGGCCCATTTGTTGATTGGGTTATTTGTTATCTTATTGTCTAATTTTTTGAGTTCTTTGTATACTCTAGATATTAGGGCTCTATCTGAAGTGTGAGGAGTAAATATTTGTTCCCAGGATGTAGGCTCCCTATTTACCTCTCTTATTGTTTCTTTTGCTGAGAAAAAACTTTTTAGTTTGAGTAAGTCCCATTTGTTGATTCTAGTTATTAACTTTTGTGCTATGGGTGTCCTATTGAGGAATTTGGAGTCCGACCCCACCGACTGTAGATCGTAGCCAACTTTTTCTTCTATCAGACGGCGCGTCTCTGATTTGATATCAAGCTCCTTGATCCATTTTGAATTAACTTTTGTGCATGGCGAGAGAAAGGGATTCACTTTCATTTTGTTGCATATGGATTTCCAGTTTTCCCAACACCATTTGTTGAAGATGCTATCCTTCCTCCATTGCATGCTTTTAGCCCCTTTATCAAATATAAGATAGTTGTAGTTTTGTGGATTGGTTTCTGTGTCCTCTGTTCTGTACCATTGGTCCACCCACCTGTTTTGGTACCAGTACCATGCTGTTTTTGTTACTATTGCTCTGTAGTATAGTTTGAAGTCTGGTATCACTATACCGCCTGATTCACACTTCCTGCTTAGCATTGTTTTTGCTATGAGAGAATGAATTTTAACATTTATTTTTCAGTTTTTGGCGGACACAACCTCTTTGTATGTGGTGCTGAAAATCGAACCCGGGCCGCACGCATGCCAGGCGAGCGCGCTACCGCTTGAGCCACATCCCCAGCCCTCACTTGACATTTTAGAAAACTACTCCCTGTGCCATATCGTCTAAGATCTTCTGAGATTCTTGTCTTTCTAATTCTTAAACCTTTCTCAGGTTTGAGGGCTCAGTCAATTTGTAGTTTAACTCTGTACCTCTTTTCAACTACTAGAATTTTATTTGGCATTTCATATCTACTATAATCTACTATTTTATCCTTTGTAGGTTTTTATGTTTTAATGCAGAAAATATTTAAACTGTGACTATAAGTACATCATTAGAAATCTAGTCACTATTTTTTAAGAGTGCCTACGTTCTCCTTGTTTTTACACATAGTTTGGCTTGGATTTGTGTTTCTATGTCCTGTTGGACAGAAGTTTGTATTCCCTTACTTGCTATCTCTTGGATTGTCCATGAGTTTCTTAAAGGTATGATGATTTTCATTCAGAATAGTACCATCTATTTTTAAAAACATGATCAGCGGGCTGGGGTTATAGCTCAGTGATAGAGCGCTTGCCTAGCACATGTGAAGCACTGGGTTCGAACCTTAGCACCACACAAAAATAAATAAATAGGAGCTGGGATTGTGGCTCAACGGTAAAGCACTCGCATAGCATGTGTAAGGCCCTGGGTTCAATCCTCAGCACCACATAAAAAAAAATATATTAAAGATATTGCATCCAAATACAACTAAAAAATAAATATTTTAAATAAATAAAATAAAGGTATGTCTCCAGCTACAATTTAAAATTTTCAAAAAAAAAAAAAAATGATCAGCCTAATACCACATTAGGTAATTGCAGTGCTTTACAACAAATTTAGAATTTTAGTGCTCCTTATTTCTGAATTTGTCAGTAAAAGAAGAGATTCTGCCTTTCACTATCATATTATCACTGGAGTGATAAATATCTTTGATGATCATAACGTGTGTTGCAATGGTAGATACCAAAATCAGTGTAAAATTGCTGAAGGGGATGGCCCTTCTGGATTTCCTTATTCACTATGTGGAATCTTCTAGCTTGCTGTCTTTTTGTATTTTGTAATGGCAACATTAAAGCTTCAGGGGTTGTGTTTACTATCACTGATCATGGTCCATTTCAGCATCAGTTTCTAGGTCCTGAGTGAATAACCTGTTAATCCTTTGCTTTTCATCTTAGGATTTTGGCATTGGAGAAGCTTGGTGCTGTCTTCAATCAAGTAGCCTTTCCACTTCAGTACACACCCAGGAAATTTGTCATCCACCCTGAGAGTAACAACCTTATCATTATTGAGACAGACCACAATGCCTATACTGAGGCTACAAAAGCTCAGAGAAAGCAGCAGATGGCAGAGGTGATGTGTCTGACTTCCGTGGTTCAGTTTAAAGGCGTGCCTGGGTACTTATATAGGAAAGTCAGTCTTGTGGCTGAGTATTAAAATACTAACCTGGATTATTCAGGATTCCACTTCCACTAAGGAAGAGTTCTTCAGTCCTTGAACTTCCAAAATAGGTTGTGTTAAATGTTTCCTGGATTTGAACCCAGAGGAAACAGCTTTCAGATTTCCCCACAATACCAGCTCTTTCCAGAAACCATTTCCTAGCAAAAACCAAATAATCATAACCATGTAGAACTGGATCCAGCCTGAAAGAGAGGAGATTAATAGTCTTAGCAAGGGATATGAAGTAATCTAGGTATAAAAATGGAGGTTTTCATTTTCACATTTCTCAGACCACTAATATTTGCTACAACTGGTATATTCTTTTGGCATTTTCTTCTCAAATTTAACTTGGTGGTAGTGATCCAGGTAGTGATCTTTGTACTTCCTTTCATCAGTGCATGTTTCCCTTGAATCTTTACTTTGGGAAATCCAGGTTTTAGATAACAGCAGTCTTTGCTATTTTATGTGTTAAGCTTCCCCTCTAATGTTCTTGCTGCTTACGCACTTCTCACCTCTGAACACACTGACTCTTTTCTTTTTGGATTTAGGAAATGGTGGAAGCAGCAGGAGAGGATGAACGTGAGCTAGCTGCAGAAATGGCAGCAGCATTCCTCAATGAAAACCTCCCTGAATCCATTTTTGGAGCTCCCAAGGCTGGCAATGGGCAATGGGCTTCTGTGATCCGGGTGATGAATCCTATTCAGGGTAACACCCTGGATCTTGTCCAGCTGGAACAGAATGAGGCAGCTTTTAGGTAAGGAGCTTAGGACAGTTCAGGATTTGTTAGGCAGGTACCAGAATTCTTTGGGTTTTGACTAATGCCTGACTCTTGCTTTTTTCTCTTTTTGTAGTGTGGCTGTGTGTAGGTTCTCCAACACTGGTGAAGACTGGTATGTGCTGGTGGGTGTGGCTAAGGACCTGATACTCAACCCTCGATCTGTGGCAGGAGGCTTTGTCTATACTTACAAGCTTGTGAACAATGGGGAAAAACTGGAGTTTTTGCACAAGGTACGAATCAGCCAGTGATTCCCTGACTCTTAGATTCTCCACTTTTGCTGAACTTATGAGTCAGATCTTTTGGGGATCAGCTCATTGATTCTAATCCATCTCTTGGCAGCACAGAGATAATGCTGAGGTCATGCTTTAGTGATGCACCAGTGCCTAGCTCCAAGAAGAAGCCTGGGTGCTAACCACCCACAGTGGGAAGATAGATGCACACTGAATCACCTCCTTGTTTACTGTCTCACTCAGCAAGCAGCAGTTCATGACCAAAATTTAGCAGTTTTAAACAATTAATATTCTGGGAAGTTACCATTTAATAGAAACAGAGTTTCTGTTTGGGAGGATAAAAAATCTGGAGATGATGTGGTGATAGTTGCATAACAGTATAAATATAGTTAATGCCTCTGAACTGTATAGACATGTCTTAAAATATAAAGGATAAATTACTCCCTCAGTCCTACCATGAGGAGTGTCTTCTTGAAGTTAATCACTTCACAGACCATTCTTTGTGTTAAACTTACTGTCTCTCTCTCATAACTGTCACTTTTCACTAGCATTCCTTTTCCATCCCTCCATAAACCTCAGTCACTTCTCAGATGTTGAAACTTAACTGTTAAATTTCATGGTGGCAGTTAAACCTAGCATAGGCTGAGGGCAGCACTCATCAGGCACCAGACTTCACATTTGTGGCATTGAGCCACTTGCTAGGTGAAATGCATTGTATAGGATCTGTTTACCCAAGGATGCTGTTTCATGGAGACTCCTGCATATATGGTTTATTTCTCTCATGAGCAAAGATACATAGAGTCACTTGCTGTCTATCTTCCTGACAGGTGCCCATAGAAGCAGGCAGTTCTGGGTTGAAGGGGTGAAACTAGCTTGTGGCTGTGTGTTCTGACAGGTGTATGACCTGTTTTTTTCTCTCAAAAGACTCCAGTGGAAGAAGTTCCTGCTGCCATTGCTCCATTTCAAGGGAGGGTGTTGATTGGTGTGGGGAAGCTTTTGCGAGTTTACGACCTGGGGAAAAAGAAGTTACTCCGAAAATGTGAGAATAAGGTAAATATTCTGATGTGGAGGCTAGGACCTAGCTATGAGGCAAGAGGGAGCATTGTTGGGGTAATGGACACTGATTCTTGAAGTCATGTGACTTTATTAGAACCATATTATATTCCCCCTATTCCACCCTCAGAATTAGACTTCTTAAGTCTTGAGAAGGGCAGAAGTAGATGATCTCATTCAAACCAAGAACCAGCTTTTTATTCTTATTTCTTATAAAGAATTTAGACATGTATTTTCACTATTATTGGGCTGGGGTTGTGGCTCAGTGGTAGAGCGCCTGCCTAGAATGTGTGTAAGGCACTAAGTTTGATCCTCAGTACCACATAAAAAATAAATAAAACAAAGGTATTGTGTCCATCTACAACTAAAAACAATTTTTAACAAAAGACTCATTCTTTTCCCTACCTTCTAGGCATTTATCGCTGGCTGCTATTCTTTTGATGTGTACTTTTCTGCATACCCTATGTATGTTCTAGTCAGAGAAAGCTGGATTTTTCTGTAGGTTCTTTTTTTTTTTTTTTTTTTTTTAATTATTTTTTGGGCTGGAGTTGTGGCTCAGCAATAGAGTGCTTGCCTCATACATGTGAGGCACTGCGTTCGATTCCCAGCACCGCATATAAACAAGCAAATAAAATAAAGGTCCATCAACAACTAAAAAATATTTTTTTAAAAAATGTATTTTTTAATTATAGTTGGACACAATATATTTATTTTTATGTGGTGCTGAGGATTGAACCCAGTGCCTCTCACATAGCTAGGCAAGCATTCTATCTCTGAGCCACAACCCCAGCCTCAATTTTCTGTAGGTTCGAATTCCAGAATTCATTTCTGATCTTGTTTTTTTCCCCCCCCCAGCATATTGCCAATTATATATCTGGAATCCAGACTATTGGACATAGAGTAATTGTGTCTGATGTCCAAGAAAGTTTCATCTGGGTTCGCTACAAGCGTAATGAGAACCAGCTCATCATTTTTGCTGATGACACCTACCCCCGGTGGGTCACTACAGCTAGCCTCCTAGACTATGACACTGTGGCTGGAGCAGACAAGTTTGGTAACATTTGTGTGGTGAGTTGTTATTTACTTTGGTTACTGTGATGTGTAGGAAAGTTAAGTTTGGTTTGTGGTGTTGGTAAAGCCAAAGAGCCAGGATTATGATCTCTAATACGGGAAGTAAACATGGGTATAAGATTCAGTCCTGCTAAGGCTAATTCTAAAAAACAGAAATCTTTCTGATCTTCTTACCAGTCTTTTGATATCCACTCCAAACCCCATCGTCACCTCCTTCCTTTCCATAGAACATAATTTAATATTGATAGGTTTTGTTTGAACTAATGGATAATATTTATTTTTACCTTTTGGTAGAATCTTAGCTTGCCCAGGCCTGACTTCTTTTGTCTGTAATCTGTAGTCTAGTTTTGTTCTTTTTGTGCTGAACCTTTCTTAAAGCTTGGTTCTCTTGGATTTCTCACACCTCAGACACAGCTCCCAGAGCAGGTATAGGATGTTTGGGCTCCAGCATCTGTCTAGATAGTTTTCCTAGGTAGTTTCTTGCTTAAAAGGACCCAGGCAAGCATATTGCTTTTTGATCCAGGGGAGCAGGTTTAGGTCCCATCCCTATGATTTGTGTCACTTCCTTATAGGTGAGGCTCCCACCTAACACCAATGATGAAGTGGATGAGGATCCCACAGGAAACAAAGCCCTATGGGACCGGGGCTTGCTCAACGGGGCCTCACAAAAGGTAAGATTGCACAAAGGGCCCAAGTGAAAGATAAGTTCACTACCTTCCCTCTTGCCCTCACTGAAGAAAGAGTCTTGATTGGATTATCCATGATGCACCTGACTGCTGAATGTTCTCTTGCATGTTCTTTATAAGTTTAAAATAAGAATTTTCTGAGACATTCTGTCAGAATGTCAATCAGTAAAAATCTATTTGGAGAACAGTGAGGTCCTTGAAAAATATGGACATAAGGTTCATTCCCAGTATTAGCCACCTCTTCTCTGGGTCTTGAACTTTGCTCATCTTCTGTAGGCATATACTTTAATAGAGAATCGCTGGACTTTTTGAAGACGGATCTGTTTTAGAGAACAACCTAGTGATAGCTGTTGTTTATAATTGTTATGTGGTTTTCTTTCTTTCTTTTTTTTTTTTTTAGTAGTAGTTGGACACAATACTTTTATTTCACTTATTTATTTTTTTTGTGGTGCTGAGAATCGAACCAGGGTCTTACACATGCAAAGTGAGTGCTCTACTGCTGAGCCACAACCCTAGCCCCTTCTTTTTTTCAATTGTAAACTTGATAATTTAACCAAAAGGTTTGTACATGATAATTGTTTACGAGAAATTATCTAACCTCAGTATGTTTTGCGGCACCAAGGTTTAAAATAATGAAGGAATGTAAAAAGGTGTTTTTAGATTTCAGTAATTTTTGGATTAAATTAATTAATTAACTAGTTTTGGTACTGGCGACTAAACCAGGGATGCTTAGCCACTGAACTATATTTTTAAACTTTTTTTTTTTTTTTTTATTTTGAGACAGGGTCTCACTAAGTTACTTAGGGCCTCACTAAGTTGCTGAGGCTGGTCTCGAACTTTGATCCTCCTGCTTTAGCCTCCAAGTCGCTGATATTACAGGCAGGTGCCATTGCACTTGGCAATTTTTCAATTTTAAAAGATAATGAAATGTGCTAGGTAGAGTGGCATAACTGGAATCTCAGCTAACTCTGGGAGGCTAAGGCAGAAGATTGCAAGTTTAAGGCCATCTAAGGATTGCAGGTTTAAACAACTTAGCAAGACCCCGTTTCAGAATTTTAAAATGGAAAGGGCTGGGGATTTTGCTTAGTAGTAGGGCATCCCTGGGTGTAATCCCTAGTTCTGTCCCAGAAAAAGGTGGTTAAATGTTCCTGGAGGCACTGCTTGCCCACAGGAAGCCTGAACAGGCTCCAGAGAGCACATATAGTTAATAGTTTGTTTTTGACTTGCAGGCAGAGGTGATCATGAACTACCATGTTGGGGAGACAGTGCTGTCATTACAGAAGACTACGTTGATCCCTGGAGGTTCAGAATCACTTGTCTATACCACCTTGTCAGGTGGAATTGGCATCCTTGTCCCATTCACATCCCATGAGGTGAGATTCCCCCACATGGTTTTGGCCTTGGCCTTGGCCTTTCTAGTGTTGAATCTGCCTAAGAGGGAAAGTCCATTTATGTATCCTTATTTGTAATTAGGAGTTACAAGTGCCTGGGAGAATAGGAATCCTGAAATTTTACCCCCTGAGCAAAATCATTTAATTTATATAATACTAATTCTGATTTGGGTATAGGTTATTCTCAGGCTAAAGCCCCAGAAATGGACTTCTACAGACTAGAAATGATGGAATGTTGTCCTTTGGGGGACTCATTGTCTTATGGAATTGGCTAAGTTTGGTTCATGTCATTCTAGCCAGGAATCTGACCTCACAGGCCACTGTTAGCAAATGACAGTCTCTCTTGTATTACAAATACAATGAGGTCTGTTTTGGACTTTAGCTCTCTTGTTATAACAGAAAAACCTGTGACCATCAGAAGAGTGGTGAGATGTTTACTGTCTGTTCATATGGTAAAAATCAGTGGCTCATTTGTTCATTGTGCTTGTGGAAACTATAGACTAGCAGTTGAAATCATTTTTTTTTCTCAGTGACAGATTCTTTGTTTCTTCCACCAGGACCATGACTTCTTCCAACACGTAGAAATGCACCTGAGGTCTGAGCATCCCCCGCTTTGTGGGCGGGACCACCTTAGCTTTCGTTCCTATTATTTCCCTGTTAAGGTAGGTTTCTCAGCCTATTCACCTGGTCTTTTCTCTGGGCTTCTGCTTCTTAAGAGAGTAGTCCTGAGTGGAGCAGTGAGTGAGTGGATTGATAGAGGAGGCAATGATGGGGATTCATGGTTAGTGATATTCTGAGCCCTCTTCTCACAGGGCAGGCCATAGCCAGAGAAGAAGCTGTACTGGGTTTTGTCAGTCTGAACTCCAGCTACTCAGGTATCTGGGGGAGAAGAAAAAGCTCTCTCTGCAGCTGCTGCTTTAGCATATGCCTTTTTCTTTGAGTATCAAACCTTTTTCTTTCTCTTACTCTTGCATGTCTCAGAATGTGATTGATGGAGACCTCTGTGAGCAGTTCAACTCCATGGAGCCCAATAAGCAAAAGAATGTCTCTGAAGAACTGGACCGAACCCCACCTGAGGTGTCCAAGAAGCTTGAGGATATCCGGACCCGTTATGCCTTCTGAGCCCTTACTGTACCTGTGGGCTTGCCAGAGACACTGTTTTTGACCCTTACTACCATCATTACCACCTGTCTTCTGCTATATGGCAGGAGAAAGGTGACTGGATATTTAAGGCTATAATATTAAAGCCAGTAGCTCTCTCCCCTCAACTCTTCCCTTGGAATGACTGGTTCCCCCTAAAATTGGCACAGATTCACTCACTTCTCCCTGCCCAGCACATGATACATTGTCCCAACCCAATGCTCTATTCCTGAAACCATCTCTGCATTGATATTTGGCTCTCTTCTACTTTTGTACACACCCTTAATTTTTAACTTGTTTTCCTGTAAATACAGTTTTGTACAATGTTATTTGTGGGAGGGAGGAAGATAAGTTAAGGTGGGGTCAGGTTGGATACAATATGACTCCTAAATTCTGTCACTTGGAACCTGCCCAGAAATGCAAACCTAGTTTTTAAGGTGGCTGGCATCTGTGTTTCTTTTTCTATGAATGAGAATTCAGGTGGGAGATTTGAGTGTGAATTGGAGAAAAAACTGAGTCCACTCCTTCCTCTCAGGTTTCTATCTGGATTTCTGATAACCTGTGGCCTCCTGTCACAGGCTCCCCTGTGATTTCTTTTAGTTTTCCTGATTCTTTGCTCTGCAGGTGGATGTCTACCCACTGTTCCCATTGGATACTGAGGAGTGGTGGTTGATGTCTTTTCCCAGTCTAAGTTCCCTTGTACTCTTGAAGTCTTAGAATGATTGGATTTAGCATGGCTCCCATCTGGGCAGTCTCATTAAACAAAGCTTCCTTCACTTCTTGAGAAAGTCCTTGACTACTATGAAGGGTCAACGAAAATAGATGATCCCAATACTAGCCTTCCCTTGGGACCCGTCAGTGTGTGTTGCACCCTTAAGCACATGGGGTGGGCTGTCTACAGTGCATATCTTGGGTAGATTTCAGAGGGCCTTGGGAATAAAAGGAAGGATCACTGAGAGCCCATCAGCCAGAAGTGGCCCAGTTTCAAAAATGTTCCAGTCCCCCAGTTGGAAATTCCTCCGCTTGCCTATGTGGGAAGCCCTAATCTTTCAGGCAATCCTTCTGAGCATTGGACCCAAAGAAACCTGAGCTCACTTGCTTTCAGAATGTCATAAAGTAAAACATTGAGTAACTTTTCTGTCATCTACAAATGGTATTTGGTAAGAATCCAAAATGGAGGTGATTATACGTGGCCTTTGAGCAGTCCAATGTAGAGAGGATTCCTAATCCATCTTTTTTTCCCTTAATGTATAGATTGCATAGGAGATGTACTTCTGAATTGCATTTAGGAAGCATTATTCCAGGACTCATTTTTTCCTATGGCCATAAATCCATTCTGTCAAATACACAGCATAGATAGATGAGCAGTGGCTCCTTGTTCTAACCTCCTAACTCGGGTTTCATAGGTGCATACTCTACTTTAAAAATATTTTTATTTTTCATTTTTAGTAATACATGACAGTAGAATGCATATTTATATATGAATATAAATACATATAAAGTATGACATTTTATTTAGGTTCCCACTCTTGTGGTCATACATGATGTGGGGTTACCTTGGTCATGTATACAAATATAAAGCTTGGAAAGTTATGTGAAAGGTATGTGGTTCCAGGGATCGAACCCAGTGCCTCACACATGCTAGGCAAGTGCTCTACACTGAGCCACAACCCCAGCCCTAGGTACATGTATAAAATCAGGAATTTTTCCCTCTGAGCTTCCTCTGTAATCTGCTCATCAGTTTGCTTGTTCTCTGCCACAGGAAGGGCTTGGGCAAGCAGAATTTCTGGAGTGCCAGTGCAAGTGTTCAGGCTTGAATTTGCTGAGATGAGGAATTTTGCCTTGTTCATAGCTACTACCTCACATCCTATAAAAGGTGTCTGACAAATATTTAGCAATTATATGAGGCTGAATCGCAAGTCCCTTCTCTAGTTGTTAAGGGGACCTAAGTGGCTAATTGGGTTTGGTTGAACAACAACCAGGTAAACAGAGCTGTCTGCAGCCTTGCAAAAATCAAGAGACTGCTGGGGAACTTGGAAAGGAGGAATATTGTCAAAACTGTCATCTGCACTTGGTTATTGGGTTTGTTCCCATCCTGCTCTTCTGTTAAGCCCCTGTGACTTGGATCTAAGAGGACCAAAAAGTTTTCAGCAGCTTTCCCCAGACCTCTGGGGCCAGAGGTTGTGCAGATGTTTCCTTCGGAAAATCTCTGGCCAAGAATAGCATTCCTTTTGGGGAGGGGGTTCAAGTTGGACTGTGTCTGGAATGTTGCTTTTCTTGGTTTGTGTAAATGTATTGCTGGCAAAACAGCTGTTGGGACTGGGAAAGGCGCTCAGGGTTCCCCATCTCACAGCGGGAGTGCTAGACGCCAGGATATGGGTGGCTTTCATGACTGCAGCTTTTCTGGAGCTCTTCAGAGGGGAACCTGAAATGCTGAGTCATTCTTCAATGGCTTTCAAATCTCTTCAGTTCCTAAATTTGTGTGTGTGTGTGAGAGTTTACTCAGAGTTACTGAGGATTGAAACCAGGGTTTTGTACATACTATGCAAATGCTACCAATGAGGTACAGCCCTAGACTGTCCCTTTTATTCTTTTTAGTTCTACATGATATAGGCATATCACACATACATGGAGTATAACTTCCCATTCTTATGGTTGTACATGTATGTATACATACACTGGTCACCTCTTGCACTTTAGGAGTCTTGTTGAAGAATTTGTATTCATATGTGAACATAGGAAAGTTGTGTCCAATTCATTCTCCTGTCTCCCATTCTCATTCCCCGCTCCAATCTGATGACCCCCAACCTCCTTAGGGCAATGAGTGGGGGTTGCCTGTTGTGAGTCAGCATCTACATATCAGAACATTCAGCCTTTGGTTATTGAGGATTGGCTTATTTCACTTAATCTTGAGTCTCCAGTTCCATCCATTTATTGGCAAATGCCATAACTTCATTCTTTATGGCTAAGTAATATTACATTGTATATACAAACCACATTTTCTTTATCCATTCATCTGTTGAAGTGCACCTAGGTTGATTCCCATAGCTTAGCTGTTGTGAATTAAGCTTCTATAAACATTGATGTGGCTGTGTCATTGTAGTATTTTGATTTTTTAAGTCCTTTGGGTATAGTCCAAGGAGTGGAATAACTGGGTCAAGTGGTGGTTTTATTCTAAGTTTTCTTTTTCTTTTTTAACTTGTAGTTGGACACAATACCTTTATTTTTATTTTTATGTGGTGGTGAGGCTCGAACTCAGCACCTCCTACGTGCTAGGTGAGTGCTCTACAGCTGAGCCACAACCTCAGCCCCCATCCTAGGTTTTCTGAGGAATCTCCATACTGCTTTCCAGAGTGGTTGCACCAATTTGCAGTCCCACCAGCAATGTATGAGTATATCTTTTCCCCCACATCCTTGCCAACATTGTTACTTGTATTCTTGATAATTGCCATTCAGACTGGAGTGAGATGAAATCTCAGTGTAGTTTTAATTTTGATGTATCTAGTTACTAATGATGTTGAATACTTTTTCATCATATTTGTTGACAGGTCATATTTCTTCTTCTTTGAAGTGTCCAGTTCCTTTGCCCATTTATTGATTGGGCGGTTCCATTTATTGATTGGAACATGGTAGGGATTCATTAAACACCTGCTTGGCTGTGGTGGTTTTGGAGACCTGAAAGCCCAACTTTGTAGGGCTCATGTGATGTTTGTTTTTGTTGTTTCGTTTTTTGAGTTCTTTGTATCTCCTGGAGATTAATGCTCTATCTGATGTGCAGGTGGCAAAGATATTCTCCCATTCTGTAGACTCTCATCACATTCTTGATTGTTTCCTTTGCTGTGAAGAAGCTTTTTAGTTTGATACCATCCCATTTATTGATTCTTGATTTTACCTCTTGCACTTTAGGAATCTTGTTGAAGAATTTGTTTCCTAAAGCACCATAATGGAGATTTGAGCCTACTTTTTCTGCTAGTAGGTGCAGGGTTTCTGCTCTAATGGCTAGGTCCTTGATCCACTTTGAGTTGAGATTTGGGCAGAGTGAGAGGGGTCTAATTTCCTTTTGCTACACACAGATTTCCAGTTTTCCCAGCACCACTTGTTGAAGAGGCTATCTTTTCTCTAATGTATGATTATGGATCCTTTACATAGTGTAACTGTATTTGTGTGCCCAGACCCCCTTTTTATTATTTTATCTTTGAAGCAGAGCCTTGAATTTGTCATTCTCATGCCTCAGCCTCCCAAGTAATTGAGATTACAAGGCATTGTCACTGTGACCAACCTAAATTCTGTTTTTCTTTTTGGAAACAGGGTCTCACAGAGTTACTGAGTCTGCTTTGAACTTGCATTCCTCCTGCCTCAGCCTCCCTAGTCTCTGGGTTTATAGGGGTACACTACCATGCCCAGCTCCTAAATTCTGTTCTCTATTCAAAGTAGAAATGCTGTGTGTTTGCGTGAGTCATCCATTTTCTCATTTTCACATGAAATATGTGTGCATATTTTAAGTTTATTGCACTCTTAAAATTAATTTTCAAGGGCTGGCTATATTCAGAACTCAGAACTCCTGCAAAAATCAAAGCCTACCCAAAAAAAGAATGTGGGGAAATAGATGGCTCACTTTGGGGAACATGGTAGAGACTCATTAAACACCTGCTTGGCTGTGGTTGTTTTGGAGACCTGAAAGCTCAACTTTGTAGGGGTCATGTGATGTTTGGGTGAACTGAAATCAGGTATAGATCATAGTGTTGGAAGCATCCCTATCACCAGTCTGAACCAATAAAAGCAAGATCTTTTTCATGAGAAGCTTGGAAAGCCACCATCAGGATACTGCCAGCCCCTAGAAGAGTGTGTTTACTTAGCACCTACTCTACCCTTTCTCCTAAGTCTGCTCCTACGTCCTCCAGAGGTTGGAGGAGAGTGTTGATAATTTGGCAGTCTGCCCTTCAGAATAGCCTAACACCCATGCTCCATTTCCTCAAAACAAATGCACAACCTAGAGACTATTGGGAAAACTTGGAAGTTTGCAAGTCTAAAAAATGAGGAGGTGGTGCCAGGTACAGTGGTTCACACCTGTAATCCTAGCAACTTGGCCTACTGATGCAGGAGGATCACATGTTCAAGGCCAGCCTAAGCAAATTGGTGAGACCCTGTCTTGAAACAAAAGGATTGAAGTTGTAGTTAAGAGGTATAGCACTTATGCATGAGATCCTGGATTCAATTGCCAGTACCCCAAAAAAGGGGGTGGGCAGCTAAGGGTTTTAGGACAGAAAATGGTAACTTCTAGTGACCTTTGCTGGACATTAGAATTCTCTCTATGTCAGAAAAGACTCAAGAGTCTCGTAATGCCTGGGCTGAATATATCACAATCTGATATAAATGATCAGATCTGGAAATCACTAGCTATGATAGGGAAGGAGGGAATGTTGCTACTTACTCAAAACAACAAAAAAAATGTTATCAAAGAAAATTTAGTTTAGAACTTGCAGTTATGAAAAAGAGATAGGGAGAGGGCTCTGGAAATAGCTGAAGGACTGTGTTCAACATCACTGTACCTTGCCCACCCCTGAATCCAGCTGCTCTGTCATACCCAGTCAAAGGCAAGCCTACATCAGTTCTGGCCTCTTATCTGCCAGAACCTGGTCTTCAAAGAGTCACCCAACAGAACTTTCCCCACTTCTCTGACTGCAAACAAAATCTCTCCTTAATGAAAGGAGAGTCTCTGCAGCTACTCTGGAGGCTGAGGTGAGTAGGATCTCAAGTTGGAGCCTAGCCTGAGCAATTTAGCAAGACCCTGTGTCCAAAAAAATGGGGTTAGCGATGCAGCTCTGAGATAGTGCAGCCCTGGGTTCAATCCCTAGTACTTCAAGGAAAAAAAAAAAATGTTGCTTTTGATGAGGTTGGTTGGGGAGTTGCCATCTTTCAGGCCATGAACATGTGTGTGTAAGCTAGTGACATGATAGTCAAGACAGGTATTAATAACTGGGTTATTGGGCCCCAAAGCTGTTAGACATGCTGCGGGCTCTCCTTTAAGGATCTGATGTAACTGAAGAAAGGCAACTTTGCCTCACAAAAGCATCAGAAGCAAGGCTCCATCTGTCAGATGCCAAGCAGGAAAGAAGTCTATGGCGAAAACATTGGACATGGCATCAGATGACTTGTGGTTCACTACCTCTAAGCTCCTTCTGGGTTTCCTGGCTATAAAACGATAAAAGCAAGACTGACTGACCTATGACTGTGGTTACAGGGACATGCTGAGCATCCAGGGTCTGAAGAGCCGTGGCCCTGGAAGACCCCAAGCCACCTCCATTGTGAACCTTTTGTGTTATATAGGGACACTTGGGAAGGAGGGCATCCTTCTAAGCCAAGAGTCCCCAGTGAGGTCCTGTGACTGTGTCTCCATCATCTTTGCCCCCCTCTGCCTCCCAGGGACTGCCTGTGAATCAAGCCTCAGCAGAGCTCTTCAGCATGGCCTTGCAGAGGGTGTAGCCAGGGTAGCCACTGCCAGGGAGTAGAGGTGGGGCAGTAGCTGTGTACATTCCAGTGTGGGCACATTGCAAGTTCAGGGAATCCAGCTTTCTCCAGTCAACTAAGGAAGCATTTCTTTAACTGCCAAATCAATTCCCATTTAGAATAAGCCCTGCTCTCATGTCCAGGCCGGCCTTCCCAGACTAGATGCAGTGGAATCCTAGATGTTAACAAGGGGCCCTTAATGAAGGGTTCTGTGCTCACATTCTGGGAAGCACCGCAAACTCCCCTCCTCGGTAGTTCACTTCTTTGAACAACAACATCCATTGTGATGTCCGGTGGTGGGAGAGCTGAAGGATGCCTTTCAGGGAGGGAGTTGGCCACCCCCAACTACTCCAAATACAGTCTAGTAAAATCAGGGAACTTGATTTGAAAACTACTCTGGAAAGGTTATGGTGCTGTCCCTGAAGACCCACAGAACTCTGCTAGAGAGGGCCACCCTCAGACCAGTCACTGTGATCCAGGTAAAACAAGACTTCCCATGCCTTTGCAGATAGACTGAGGGAGAGGCTCTTCTTTTTCCAGGAGTAACCACAGTGCTGGGTCTGAGGCTTTGGGGTTAGACTCAGTAACCAGCTGTGGAATTTTCCACCTCCCTAAACTCAGGTCCCTATCTGAAGACTGGTAGACTTGGTCATTTTTCTGTCTCCAGCAGTGGTATTATGCATCAGAGAAAGGCCTTTTCTAGAACTAATGTCCCTATATGTACAAGCTTCAGTGATTACAGCATCACCAGCTATATTCAGTTTTGTGATGAGGTTTTGGGGTTTTTTGGTTTTGTTTTTCTTGTTGTTGGTACTGAGGATTGAACCCAGGGTTCTTAATGACTGAGCTACATCCCCAGCCCTTTTCATTTTTTTATTTTAGACAGAGTCTAAGTTGCTTAGGGCCTACATTGCTGAGGCTCGTCTTGAACTTGCAATCCTCCTGCTTCAACCTTCTGAGTCACTGAGAAGGATAAGTTTTTTGTCAAGATCCCCATGTTCTGGAGGGGATCTCTTAAAACACTCCAACCTGCCTGAAAGCCATGGTTTGATTTCTAGGGACTCACACCATACTTGCCCTTGGTCAGAACTGTCCCCTGACTGATCCTCTGTGTTTGAGTCTCCTTACACTGCACTTCAAGGCAGGCTGGGGCCATGTGGCCCTGCCCCACCCTTGCTTGGCTCCAGTTCCAACTTCCAGAGTGAAGTTGGAGCTGCAGTGGCTTACATTCCCCGCCCTTCTCATCAGATGGGAAGCCTAGTTTGTGGGCTGGGGGCAGCCACAGCTTTTCCCATCTGGTGCCCACTGCCCACAGTCCCTAGGCATCTGCTCCAGGACTTAGAACCCCTTAAAGCTGAAAGCAAGCCTTAGAAGACCACAGCCTGGCACTCAAGCAGGTAAGAAGCAGAGTTGTTGTTGTTGTTTTTCATAGGATTGCTCTCTCTCTGTTACTTATGACTGGCTAAACCTCATTATTTAGCTGCTGCTGCTGCTTCACCCATCACAGCAAGAGGAACATGAACTAAAATTGACAAAAACAGTCCCAGCCAAGAAACTCCAGAATACATCTCAGAAATGGTGTGAACTGTCTGCTCTGGGTTTTGTTTTTTAATGTTTGCCTTCACAGCCTTGCAGGAAAAAAGCAGATACATAAATCCATAAAACAAGTTACCCCTTCTGAGTTTTATCAGTCTTCAAACCCACATTCCGAAAAGGTTGTTCTGGGTTCCTGGGGGCTACTCCAGTATGTATTTATTGTTTTGGATCTTTAGACCCTTAATGTATCATGTTGCATGAATTATCACTTGCATGAATTACCTTATCAAAAGTTAATTGATGTAAAATTCTTTAAAAGAAAGGAAAAATAGCATTAGTAAGCCTTCCTCGTTCAGTGTTTCTTTTTTTAATTATTTTTTTGTTGTTGTCAATGGATCTTTTATTTTATTTATTTATTTATATGTGGCGCAGGGTCTCACACATGCCAGGCAAGTGCTGTACCACTGAGCCACAACTCTAGCCCCAGACAGTGTTTCTGAAATTAAAACAAAGTGTTCTGCTTTTACACTTTGAACTTGTTTTAAATGCACAGAAACTATGACACTTAAGGTCCATGTGGTATTTGCCACAATAACAACCCATCCTAGGATGCCTTTGCCTCTTGATGAGGAAGGTGGATTGCTTCCAGGTGTTTTTGTAATTAATAATTCATCTTTTATGGACAACTCTGTGAAAATAACTTTTTTGGGTCTTTTTAGTTTTGCTGAGGTTTCCCCCACCACCCCACTTCCTGCAGTTTATTCTCCATCCAGGATGAATACTTGGGACAAAGGGCAAAAACATTTTGTATATTGGGGTCAGCTCACTCAGAAGAATTATAGGACTCATTTACTAATTTCTAGGACCCTGGTGGCATGATGAGGTTGGTGGGGAACTTGTGTTCTCTGGGGATTTTTAAGGAAGGTGAATGGAAGCAGTCTAGTATAGTTGTTAAGAGCTTGGTTTGTATACAGTAGTTGGCTGACTGAGAACTCTCACCTAGTAACTTCATTGCGTCTCAGTTCATGTGTAAAGTACAGATTATAAAACTTCTTAGGGATGTTGGAAGACAGAGACAGTGTATGTGAAGCATAATGTCTGCTACTCAGGAAGCACTCCAGAGGGTGCTTCCAAGCTGGAGCTCTCCCTGAGCCATTTTATAAGCTAGGCAGGAGAAAGTCAAGTCATCTTCTTCTTCAGCCCCATTGTACCTGGAATGAAAAGTTTCCTCACTCTTTAGATATGTGTGTGTATGTGTGTGTGTGTGTGTGTATGTGTGTATGTGTGTGTGTATATGTGTGTGTGTGTTTGTATTTGGTACCATGGATTGAACTCAGGGGCACTTGACCACTGAGCCACATTCCCTATTTTGTATTTTATTTAAAGACAGGGTCTCACAGAGTTGCTTAGCACCTTGCTTTTGCTGAGCCTGGCTTTGAATTCGTGATCCTCCTGTCTCAGCCTTCTAAGAGGTGGGGATTACAGGTGTGAGCCACTGCACCCGGCGAGAGAACTTTTTGATTATAATGCCATGTGTCCCTAGGATGGAGGGCTGGGCATTAGGGTCAGGCCTCCTCCTTCAAAGGATCCCAGGCTCTCAGCTACCCCTGCTATGAGATGAGGATGCCACCCTTCCTGGCTCTCAGCCACCTTCCTTACAACTCGGGCTTGGACAGAATAAGAATTCCCAGGAAGTCTGTGGGTGCACCGTCTATTCCTCTCCCAGCTGCCACTATGGTAGGTTGCTGGGTGCCACAGATGCCGCACAGCACAATGAGCTCAGGCTCTGGATCCAGTGAGACTGGATTCCAATCCTAACAGTGCCACTCCCCACCTGTGGGCTGTTATTGGCCTCCTCTGAGCCTTTGTGTCCTCATCTGTGAAATGGAAATCTGAAAACTTGTGCCATAGTATTATATGAGACAGCACAGGTAAACATCTGGCACTTAGGGGCCCATTATTATGAAAGATTAAGGTTCTGGTCCAAGACCTTTGCGAAATGTAGCCAAATTAAACATAAAGATATACAGAAAAGTAATGTGTTCATTATCTCTGTCAATAAACATTAATCTGACTGGCTGGCTGGGCGCTGGAAACCAGGTGACAACTGCATAAGACAGCCTCCCTGCTCTTGAAATAGCACCCAGTGTTGAGAAAGCAGGGACAATGATCACTTCAGTCTGGGCACTCAGGAAATGGCCCTAAGCTGAAGGACAAAGAGTAGCCTGTTAGGCAGGGACTGAGAGGAAGGGGAAAAGTAAGTGCCAAAGCCAAGTGGAATTTGGAGAGGGATGGGAAGCTCTGGGGACTGCAGAGTTAGCTGGGTATAGGGAAAGGGGGCATTGGCATGAGATCAGATGGTCAGTTGGGACCAAGCTGTGAAGAGCCTGGAAGGTCAAGTGGGAATTTAAACTTGATCTCAATGACTTAAGGGTTTAAGCAGATTTGAGATTCTGTGCTGGCAATTTCAGGGGGCATGGTATTGGGTGTCTGGCATGCCCCCAGCCTTCTACTCCATCTCAGGGACTTTGGTGGCACCCAGAAAAATTAAGTGCCAAGAATGGAAACTTCAGGTTAGGCCTAGTGCAGGGAAGCCTAGCTGGGGACTTGGGGCCCTGGTTTCTGGGGCTCTGATCCCAGCCACCACCACCAGAGAATGTGGATTTCTTCTACAGTCTCAGATTAGGGCTCAGGACAATTAGGCTGTCCCCACTCCCATCCTCTGCCCCTGATCCTAAGACAATACTGTCCTGTAGCTGCCCTGACTCAGACTTGGGAGGAAGAGACCACTTGTCTGAAATGGGCAGTCTGTCCCTTTGAGCCTAAAAGAGACTCCATGGAGATTGGAGAACTGTGGTCTCCAGGCCTGGGACAATCCCAAGGGGGTTCTAGGCTGTGGTTGTCCTCTGTGCTTGAGTTTGAGAATCATGTCCCACAATTGTGGAGTGGTGTCTTTCTTCTGAGACCTTCGCTGAGGTTGGCCTGAGAACTACCTCCTGAGTTTCCCAGGGACTGCAGGGAGAGATGTGTCCATGCATGGCAGCCTGGAAGGTCACTGACCCTGCCTGGAGGACCAGCCAGTCTGCCCCTTGAGCCTCTTCAGGCCAGGGATGTGTATGTGTTGAGTCTTGGCTACAGTTAGAAAGGTTTAGGTGATGAATTTAAAAAGACAAGAAGATGTGGACCCCCCAGAATTTTTAGGCTGAAGTTTGGAGAAACTGAAGCCAAGCAGTGATAAAAGAGGAGAATGGTAGATAATAAGTGTTCAGGGCAGAGCAAGAACATACCAGGTCCTGGAGGCCATGGTTAGGATTTTGATTTTCATCTTAGTAAGAGAAGCCAGAGAGGATTTTGAATTGAGGATGATATGACCTGGCCTTGGCTCCTCCCCAACCCTGAACCCAGGGGCTCACACGTGAGCTTACTAGGCATTCACTATTCCATTAACTACACTCCAACTTTTCTTTTTAAACTTTGAGATAGGATCTTGCTAAGTTGCCTAGGCTGGCCTCAAACTTGTGGTCCTCCTGCCTCAGCCTCCTGGGTTTATAGGTATGTGCCAAGCACACCCAGCTCTGGCAACTGTTAGGAAAGATCAGGCCCCTGTTTCAAAGCTTTCTGGGCTTCCCATTGTCTCTGGCAGCATGAGAAAGTCCACATTCAGACTAAGAACTGGTGTTTCCTGCTTTATCTTCCAATTTTCTTATGTCATTAAAATCTCTTTGCAAGCATTTCTTACCATTTTAATATTATTTGAGTATACAGTTCAGTTGTGTTAAGTACATGTGTACTGTTGTATCCACTAAATAATTCCACTAAATAATTCACTAAATAATTCCCTTTCTCCTCTCTCTGGCCCCTGGTAAATATCTTTCTACTTTCTATCTATATGATTTTGTCTGCTCTAGATTCACTGTGTAAGCGAAATCACAGCGTTTCCCCCCCACAGTACTGGGATCAAACCCAGGAGGCTCTATGACTGAGCTGTATCCCCACCCCTTTTTATTTTATTTTGAGACAGGCTCTTGCTAGGTTATTATGGTTAGTCTGGAACTTAGGATCCTCCTGAAGCAGCCCCCCTCAGTAGCTGGGATTATAGGAGTGTACCACCGCACCCCGCTCAATAATTTTGAGACTGGCTTATTTCAATTAGTAGAGCATCTTCAAGGTTCATTCATGTTGTATCATGTGTCAGGATCTCCTTACTTTTTAAGATTGAATGACACTTCATCTTATACATACACATTATATTTTGCTTATCCAATCTGTCAACACTTACTTTGCTTCCATCTCTTGGCTATTGTGAATAATATGTTTATAAGGTGAGTGTACAGGTATCATGTTGAGTGTCTGCTTTCAATTATTTTCAATATATACCCCAAAGTAAATTAGCTGGATCATATGGTAATTCTATTTTTATTTATTTTTTTGAGGAACCGCTATACAATGCACAATGATTCGTATGACTCTACATCCTGATCAAGACTTCTTATTTTCTGGTAACAGTAGTAGTAGTTGCTGTTCTTGTTGATATGAGTGCAAAGAGGTATCTTATTGAGGTTTTTTTGTTGTTGTTGTTAACCTAATGACCAACAATATTTTCATACACTTGTTATCCATTTGTATATCATCTTTGGCAAAGTGTCTATTCAAGTCCTTTGCCATGTTTTTATTGGGTTATTTGATTTTTGGTTATTGAGTTGTAGGAGTTCTATATAAATTCTTGATATTAACTCCTTATAATTATCTAATTTGCAAGCATTTGCTCCTACCTATAGGTCACCTTTTCATTCTGTTGATCACGTCCTGTCTGCACAGACTTCTATTTTGATGTAGTCTCATTTATCAACCTTTGCTTTTG